TCAAAATTCGTGATGTGAAACTGTAATGCTCTTACATGTGGCGGTCATATCACGAGTTTAGAAAAAATTTGTAGTGCGGCAACTGCATAGGTGCGAAAAATTCACCAAGTTTTGGAAGGCGCAAAATCGCGCAAACCCTCAAATACCGCCTCAAAGGCACAGGGTCCGCAGGAAACAATTTCTATTGCAGAACTCGCGGTGGCCAAAAGTTTACGAATTTTACGCTAACGGGTGGTAACGTCGCACTGAATATTGTGCCCAAAAAGTTGCTTTTCGAATTTAAGACGATGACAAAAATCTAGGTTGAACATGGTTTGCCTATATAGCGAAACTGAACATTCCCTCTAACTTTCGTTTAGAGAGGAAATGGTCATTTACATAATTCTGTGCGGACCATAGTCAACACCGTAATTTTTCTCACCTTCAACCATGACTTTCAAATCTTGCAATGGATTTAGAAAATTACGCAAGACCTCTGGGAAATGTGTCATTAACATCATTAGTGGTACAAGTGAAGACAAGCCTAACGTGTAGAAAACCAAGACCGCCGTTTTCCCTGTATCCACATCATCCAAGGACTTTCGAGATTTGTTCAATATTTGAAAAACTTGTGCATAGAACATACCGATTATTGCGGTAAAGACATACACGGTAATCTTACTTAAGACTGATCTGACTTTGGACTTTGCTGTGATACGGATGATTTTATTATTGTCCAAGTCGACCTTAAGCAGCAATAAAAGAGATACTTTGGAGTAGTATTTAAAAACTTTGTCAAGTATGATGAAAAGTTTGTGCTGGTCCATAATGTTTAATTGGACCAATACTTAGTACAATAGTTTGAAAGGTAAATGCTAAGTCGAGAGAACCAGAGTTCCAGTGCCTTCGACCCGATAAGTTGAACAATTTTGATACTGGTTTGATACCAGTGTCGTCACGGTTATTCAGTTCAGTCACGTAGGCAGATTTTACTTATTTAAATTAAATTTCAGATTTGGTTAAGCTAAGTAGCTAGAACTTCAAGTATGCTTACGTTTGGAAAAATATAGTCGATGATAAGAAAAGATGCCAAAATTAGAAATAAGTATGTATACCTGAATGGGATTTATCTATTGATTTTGCATTGGCCTTTTAAAAATACCAAATAAATATATAGCATGCAAAGAAAAAGATTATTTTCTTTACATGCCAGATTTTTCCTTGCTCATTCGCTAAAAGAAATAAGTTCAGTACAATATTTTAATATCAATCAATCCATTAAATGGCATATGGGCTTTGGAACTCATCATGCATAAATACCAAATCTTAATATGTATATACGTAGGTATTTCCAATTTTGGAATACATTTTATGTTAATTTAATATGGACTATACGTTTCTTAAAAGGATACATACATATGTATGTCCTCACTTGAAGTTATCTTTATCTATACTTTAAACAAACTTTAGTTATGAGTGAGATAAATTTGGCTATATCACTGCATTTGAATTACCTCGACCATGCTATCGAAACAATAGAAGGGTAGGAGGTGCTTAGCCCCGATTTTGAAAGTCCCAGGGCAATTTATGGCGCACAATTATTACAAGCATGCTGGCCATATCATATAATTCATAACACATCCTTGCCACCAGGGTTTGAATGAAAAAAAACTAAATTCACCATGGCAGTTGATAGAAGTGGGACAAAGACACTTTATACCATACACCCAAATTAAGTTAGAATTGGAGAAAATGCAAAAATATGGGAACACTGTGTTCTGTGACAATCCCGAAAACTGCTCGACAACTTGATACTTTAAAAATTTGATTTATTCCTATTGTGAGAATAGCGTAGGTATGAATTTATGTATATATACAAATTCTTGTGTGGAAAATCATGCATATTTGAGTGTAAAATTGTTTATCAATAAATCAAAATGCCGATTAAAACAAAGCGGTGTGAAAAACAATCGAATTTTTGGTGGTTAGTATTAGTTAGTAAAACGCGACAAGTTAATTTCCTTTATTTCCATACTCTCTCCACGTACCTACTCCAAGTCCACGCAGGATTGAACTTTAACAGAAATTGAGAATTCTGAGAAACTACGCTCCTGCCAGTCTCAAAGTTCCCCGTCAACATGAATTGAGGGAATTTGAGACTGGCAGGGGCGTAGTTTCTCAGAATTCTAAATTTCTGTTAAAGTTCAATCCTGCATGGATTTAGAGTATAGACAGTTTATTCATTTTAGTATAGATTATATTCGCAGAGATGTATGTATGTGTACAATTATTCTTTTTGAGAAAAGTCTAAACGCCCAGCGCTTCACAAAATTGCCCTATCTGAAATAAAAAAAACTTAACCTATTTCGTAGTCCTACAGTACCTATAGTAATACATACATATGTACATATTGTGGCAAGGAAAACTTACAAATTGTCCACTGGGAAATCATTACTACATCAACACGGTCATACAGAGTACTCATGTGACTACAAGATTTTTTAGAGTGTATGGCAAAATTATGGGTTCGGATCAGTGTCGAAACACCGGGAATAGGCGGTGCTCTGGCGGAATATGAAAGTTTTTATGGAAACAATTGTGAAATCAGAGTAACAGGAACTTGCCACATTCACACGGTTTTTTCAATCCATAATTTACATATATGCGACACACACAACGAATTGGAACAAATATGGAGGGATATATAAAACTGATGGTTGCCCCCGGGGAAAAAAGCAAAACTACATTTATACGTGGCAGAAAAACACGGCAAAGCTTGGACCAAACATGGAAATTCATTAACCTTCCTAGTTATAAACATGTAGTTCAAAATATTTACAGTGAAGGTTCTGTTATGTGACACTGTGGCATAACAAATATATTTGAAACAAATAAGTTGGCTCAAGCGTTATACTTCAATTTACTCCAAATTATTTATTTATCGCAAATTTTCTATCACTTTTCAGTATCAAGACTAGCGATAACTAGTGAGAGGTGTAAAAGAAAAAGGGAAAATAAATGGTAGATGTGAATTGTAGTGAACTTAAAAAATAAGTTCAAACAACGAGGTAAAACTAATTTTCTTTACGTCCTTGAAGTTCATTTTGTCCATTTAAGAGATAACCACTAGGTTTGGGAATATTGAGAACTTGTACATGGTATGAATCAATCCCCTTTACACTTGCAAAACAAGGCTTGACCTTCGTCTTGCAGCCACGCAAGAAATACTGGGAGAAATTGAGCGCCAGTATTTAAATCCTATTTTTAAAAAATAAGCTTTCGAAATATTGAATTTGTTTGGCTTGAGAAAATGGTTATTTAAGGAAATCCTTGATTCTTTCTTTTCAAAAATGTCAGGGAATGCAAATGGCCCAAATATGCTTAACGATTTAGTGGAATTTTGAAATGAGAATTGGGTAAATTTATTATTATTATTTATCTAATCCTAAGGGAAAATCATAAGTAAATAAATTTGTTTAACTTCTGCATAATTTTATGTTTATGGTCATTATTACAGTATTGTTAGGTATATGTATGCCTACGTAGATATGTATATGTAATTAGTTATGAATCTGTACATCACTCCATCTTTAACTCTCTTCTAATAAATACTCTCCTCTGTCTCCTCTCACTGTGTACCACTTATTTATGTATAATCATATATACATAACAGTATGTAACAGAAGTCTAGCTACGATGGCAAAATTTTTATCTCGACATGATGCCGTAATGTTTCAACTTTGAAACTCCGTACGAAAATGTCAAAACTATCTGCCGACAATTTCCTCGTCGCCGATTTTTGATGTCGCAGATAGGTCAAAGGTCAGGATTATTTTTCTGAAAAAATTTGAGGCGTCGAAAAAAAAACGTGGATAATTTTTTTGAAACTGGCAATATTTTTTACTGGATGCGGCATGGGTTTTGAAGAATAATGAGCTTTGTTTGGACCGTGTACGATTTTTTTGACGCCCACAGGAATTTTTCGCCAAAAAGAGGTTGAAGGTCTAAAAATCGCCGCCTTGGCGAAAATTAAAAAACTGAAATATACGTTTGCATATAGAGGGTCCGGATATGCAAACGTATATTTCAGTTTCTTAATTTTCGCCAAGGCGGCGATTTTAGACCTTCAACCTCTTTTTGGCGAAAAATTCCTGTGGGCGTCAAAAAAATCGTACACGGTCCAAACAAAGCTCATTATTCTTCAAAACCCATGCCGTATCCAGTAAAAAATATTGGAAGTTTCAAAAAAATTATCCACGAAGTTTTTTTTTTGAACAAACGGGGAGCCCACAAACGGGGAGCCCAATTTTTTCAAACGGGGAGCCCACATGACTTAACCAAAATGTGATAATATTTACCCCACATTGTGATAAATCTTCCCCACAATGTGCAAACGCAACACTGAATAGTGATGATTCAATACCGTTTTGCTAAGAGTGTAAATATATATTTAAAAGTGATCAGCTTAATTTCTACCTGTCAAGATGGCCTGATTAATCCATGAATATTACATTTACCTTGAGCATGACGAATAGATTGAATCGAAAGAGTACAAACAGGCACATTAAATACGCTGGCTGAAGCCATAGTTGTTGCAATAACCATAAGAAAGCCGGATAAATTCACAAGATTCGGGTATTTATTATTGCATGCGCGTATACATTGTGTGCACACCCGACCCAATCTAATCATAGACAATGGCCCACGTTAGTAGCGAATGACATTGTAATGAGTGAGGTGATTAGCTTGATTTGTACTCTCGATGATTTAAATTAATGTACAAAATGATGAAGGATTTTTCACAAATGTTTAGAGTTATTACGTTAGAATTTAGGAAGCTTTTGTGTGGAATGGGCTTGTTTAATTAATTAGAGTAAATCGCCCCAATTAAGATTGGTTTAATGATGCCGATAAGATGGAATTGTTACACGTATGGTTGCACGTATAATGCTATAATATTTGTGGTTGGTTAATAAAACCTTCATGGGATCGTGTAGCACATACCGTTTATGCTTCTAATACTGTTGAAGCCTCTTATTTCCAGAAATAGTTCCGGAAATATGGACTTCACTAGAGTTGAACTTGGAAATTTATCCTCCTCAAACTTCCCGATTGCGGTTTTTTGTACCGCTTCAATTATTATTTTGGTCGCTGTGCATTTTTTCTACTGCAATTTCTCATCGAGAGGAAAACTTGTAAATAAATTTGGTGGACCGGCATATGTTCCGGTGATTGGGTCGTTTATCGCTTTGACGAATTTGGCGGGTAAGAAAAATTCTTATTTTTAAGAAATTGTAAAATTGGGAACATGACTTTTTCGTAGATTTGTTCAATCGAAAGAAGAACCGCTTTGTGCAAGGGTCGTCCCGTTTTTGGGTTGGGTTCCGTTCTCTTATGGTGATTACGGACTGCGACCATGTCCAGGTGAGTGGACAAAGTAGTAGAAAGAATTTATAGATTACAAATTTGGTAATTTGGTGGCAAATTTCATAATAACATTTTTAAAAAATTAGCTTTATTTCGTATTATAAATACTTACAGAATTGTTTTCTTGAATCGTAGCTAATTAAAAAAAATGCAAATAAAAAACTTCTTTGGTATGAATAACGTTAATAATTCGATCAAATTGTGAAACAAAAATTTGTACATTTCAGAAAATATTAACTTCACCTCACTGTTTGGATAAAGCGAGTGAAATATATTTTTCTCTGCATAAAACAGTCACGGAAAATCCAATCGTAATTGTATCCAGTAAAGGTGAAAAAAAACATTAAAAAAAATTCGAACGAATTGAATATGAAGAATTTCAGGAAACTTTCGAGAGCTGTCTCCAAATTCATATTGATTACATATTTCACGCCCAGTTCCTAAAATCATGTTCAGTTACATAAAACTTAAACTTATTCATCTTTGCAGATGACAAGTGGAAAACACAGCGCAAAAATGTGACGCCCGGACTCAGCGCGAATCTTCATGACGATTTCATTAAAGCCTTCAACACGCAGACTAACCATTTGATGAAAGTGCTCGATGTAAAGGCCGAAGTTGGCGACGAATTCAACCCAGAATCCACATTTAGCAAGTTTGCTCTTGGAGTGGCGTTAGGTTAGTGGGCTAAATTTTCATGTGTGATACACCCTAAAAAATATGCAGTGTTCCCATTTTGAAAAATAAATGTACTCTAAATTCTTAACTAAGCGAACTTAACTAACTCCAGAGTAACGTTAACTTGTAAAAGAGTAGAATTTACTCTGAATTTCCTATAGTTTGCTTAATTTATAATTCTGAGCGTATTTACTTTTGGACAGTGTAACATTATTTTTAAGAGTGTGCATGCATACCTGCAAAATTTTGACGAATTATCGATTTTACTTAATAACTGCGCTTTATTAATGAATATGTAACAAAATTTGTACACGTTATGCAATTCATTTCCAGAAACGTTGCTCGATTGGAAAGAACAGATAAATTTTCTCGCCGGAGAAAATCCGACTTTGGCGGACGCTTTTCACAGGTGAAAGTCTTGTTCTTCATTTTTTTAACCATAACAAATTTCTGAGAAATTTACCTCAATTTAAATACGGGTAAATTTCAGAGGAGCCCGAATCGCATTTATGCCCGGAGTTATTCCGAAGTATCAATCTTCCCTGATCTGGTCCCTTTCCGGTTATGCGAAAGAATGGGAAGAAATTAAAATTGTGATGAAACAAAGTATTTCTAAGAGTGTATGTCAAATTTATGTTTCCTAAAATTCTGAAATCTCCAGAAATGTGAGAATCATTCCAAATCCCCTCTGACACTTATTACTGTTTCAGTTTATCCAAAAGAAAATGAAGGAATGGAAAAACAACGCGAATAACGGTACCACCAGATACATAATTATGCATAACCTTTAAATAATGTTATTTATATGTACTATTTTTTTAGGAAATCTACCCAAGAAAATTAAATATGCAAACATTCTCTACACCAAGTGGACAGATGAGGAAGAAATATTTTATCAGTTGATAAGTATCATTGGCGCGGTAAGTTTAAATTCAAGCTCAAAGTCATCGAATTCATGCAAGTTTTTATTTTTATTGGAAATTTTTGAAAGTTTTGTAAAACTTTCGTAGTCTGTCGATTCCACGGAATCCGTCCTATGCATGGCGTTACTTCATCTAGCAAAGCATCCCGTCATACAGGAAACGGCGTATGAAGAAGCCAAGTCCGTTATCGGAACGGACATCAACGTCTTCCTTAGTTTTGACGATATCAGAAGGTTAACCTATGTGGAAATGGTGTTAAAAGAAACGATGCGAATTATCCCACCTATCGCCGCACTGGCGCGGAATATCGGGCAGGATTTAGATCTTGGTGGGTTTTTGGGCGGGATTAATTTAATTTTTGACCTGTCCCATAATAAGAATTAACTTCGACAGGTGATGGTTACACGATTCCGAAGGATACCAGCGTCTTCATTAATTTAAACATGATGCACCATAATCCGAAATATTTCCCAAATCCGGATCAATTCATCCCGGAGAGATTTCTCCCCGAAAATGTGGGGAAGCGACACCCATACGCATACATCCCGTTTTCTCACGGTCCCAGAAATTGTATCGGTAAGCATATGACGCGAGCCTCGGGGTTATGTATATTAGGCGTATTCACAATTGTTTTCAGAATAATCGTATTGCAAAATAGTGTCAGAACAAAAAAGAAGTTGGTCTAATTTTGAAAAAATCCTAACAATAGTATTGTACTTTTTATGACAAAATCTTAAATAGTTTACAAAATCACGTAATCGTCTTAAATTACATCATGACAGGAGTAAATTCCATTCCATATAGGAATGTTAATGAATATGGGATACCCTTATTACGCGTATATTTTATGTCACCAAAAAAATTCATAATTTCGAATTTCCTAATAGTTGCTCCGTACGCTGGAAATGTAAATTTGATAGGCTTTTATTTATTTCGCCAAAAAAATCAGATTGGCGACACTAATTTGATTTCAATAAGCGACTATGTCCTATGATTAATTTGATCCTATTTCTGGATTATGATTTCTTGAAAAACGCAAGGTCTAATTATTGTTTTCTTCCTATTCAGGTAAAAAGTATGCCATGATGGAGATGAAGCTAGCCTTGGCGAAGATCTTGTTCAAGTACGAAGTCACCACGAGCATGCGGAATATTGAGAACTTGGAGTATGAATCGAGCCCATTTACATTTGCTAAAGGTGGAATCAAGATTAAATTGCAGCCACGAAGCCAGAATTAATGGGAGGTATTTGTCCATGCAAATCCTCGAATTATAATTGGATATGTGTTAGATTAAATTAACCAATATGGACATTTGAGTACGAAATTGCACCTAAATTAAAAAATAAAGCTTAACTGTTTGAACATTATTTCTACGTATTTTGGCTGCATTATAAATGTACATACTTACATAATCCATGGGGTTTGATTCTATCACATAGAAATACAGACTTTTAATTATTAAATTTTAAGACTACAAATTGTTCTTCCGTGAGATTAGTGGTTGCATCATTCCAAATATCACGTGGTCTATAAAGTACATCCATAAATACTAGTCGTTAGTATTTATGGGGTATTTGTTTCTAAATTGTTACGATATCTACCAGAAATTTGAAGATTTTTGTGAGTAAGCCCAATAGTGATAATTCATGAATGTGCGTAAACCAATTATTAGTAATTTGTTTCATTATTATTACAGTTCATCACTCTACTACTACTAAAAATGTGCTAACCTTGAGTTACCCAGTGCTTAGGGGCCGTCCATAAATTACGGGTCGTAAAAATCGCGATTTTCTAGACCCCCCCTTTAACATGTGTAACATAGGCACGATATCATTGGAGCGTTAGACCCCCCCCCCCCCCACGTGCTTTACGTAATTTATGGACGGCCCCTTAAGAGTGCTGTAGCTATTATGCAATTTGCTCTCAGAAAGGTAGCAATTCCATTCAATGGAACCTTTGAAAATCGTTCCTAGTTACGCGTATATATTTATAGTTTTATTAGTGCACATTGTACATGAATGGGGCGTGCAAAAATATTTTGGCAGATTTAGGATTCAAAAACGATCCGACATATGCTAAATAAGAATATTGTTGACAAATTGGTTTAAAGTGAAAATTTCCAATTAAAAAAAAATTTCTTGGAAATGTGTCAAAACTTGTCAAAAAGTAGGAAATATTTTAAATTTGAGGGGTGTAAACCAATCCGAGAAACATCACAAAAAAATTTGCATTGCTAATTTTTAGAATTTAGCAGACAAACAGACTGTCACACTAGTTGTAAGGTGTTTCGAAAAAACTCAAAATCTCATTTTGATTGATCCTAAGTACTTAAATTAATTCTAAACAAGCCATATGTACTCTAGGATAAATAATTTTTTTGGTGAACGCAACAATACAAATTTCGAAATAAAATTTCCAAAAATGCACAAATTTTGTGTATACCCCCCTAAGAAAAATTAATGCCAATGAAAAGAAGCAGAAATCCCATAACATAGCATAACAAAGTCCCGTTTAATTTAATGAAGACCTTCATTAAATTGGCAATATAAAATTAGATTAAATTGGCGAAATTGCGGCTTTGCAACTTTGTGATACCTTCTACCTTCGGGTATTTTTATATGCGAAAGGAACCCTGGAAATTAGTCTGGATTATTTTTTGCAATTTTGTAATTAAATTTTGCGAATTTTTTGGCACCGTAATGTGGCCTGTGATTGTGTTCGTTTTCATAGCAGTTCTCACCTGGCATGTTTTTTACTGCAATTTTTCCTCCAAGGGGAGGAACATAAATAAATTTCCGGGCCCGATATATATCCCGCTGGTTGGATCCATGCTAGTTTTTGGGGACATGTTAAGTACGAAAAGATTACGCGTAATTTTGCAAGAATGCATATTTTGAAAAGAGTTTTATAAATTTTTAGATCTTTTTGACCACAAGAAGCTGAAATTTCCAATAGGAACGAGCCGAATCTGGTTGGGTTTCACACCGATAATTTTCACGACGGATTGTGACGTGATTCAGGTCGGTGGATATTGGCATAAATATGCAAATAATTTAATATTAATAGGTAAGCAATAATTGGGGGTATTCATCACAAGTTCGCATGTTAGTATTGCAAGCATGATTTTGAAAGAAATAATTTACAAAGTAAATTGGTGATGCACAAATTTGTACATAAGTGAATTTTCAACCCAAGTTTTTTCTAAATTATGTGAATTTCAAAATTTTCACGAGTTGGACGAACTCATAATGAGTACCCTCAATAATTCGTTTCTTTGAAAATTATCCAGAGATTTTAACAATTTCTTCAATGCTCAATTTGCTTATTGTTTCCACAATATTTATGCGATTATTACGAATTTATGAGGAACATTTATGCGCAAATTAACAAACTCCTTAATTCTCCAATTTTAGAAAATATTAACGTCACCGACATGTTTCGACCAAGCCGACGAATTATCCCACCCTCTACGACACACTGTTACGGACGAATCTCTCATCATATCTTCCAATAAAGGCGGGTACTTTTTTAAAAAAGGTGCAAATTTTAGTTTGCTTTTCTAATAATTTTTGCACTGCTTAGATGACAAGTGGAAGAATCAGAGGAAAATATTATCTCCCGGATTAAGTGCGAGCATGCATCCCGAATTTCTCACCGCGTTCCACACCCACCTCCCAAACTTGATGGAAGTGCTCGAGGAAAAGTGCAAAATTGGGGGAGAGTTTAATCCAGACAATCTTTTTGGCAAGTTTGCCATGGGTGTGGCGTTCGGTAAAAGAATACAACATACAATTATTTTTGCGCATAGTTTGCTTAAATTCAGGCCAACAATAACATGTTGTTAAGGTAGTTGCACGGTAGGTGTTGTAATTTAATTTCTCCTTAGTATGAAAAAAAGATTTGGTTCGTTGCGGCTCATAGTTTTGAGTAATCTTCTTTTGGAGTAGAAACTGGGGAGAAATTAAATCACAACCCTTTACATATTTAACTATTAACGACATTAGGATAAAGGATTGACTACACTGTAAAGCATCCGGTAGAGGTAGAGTCACATATGTACTCCGCGTTGGTATTGATTTGGTAATAATTCCTTACCAGATTGGTTATAGTTTGATTCTGAGTGGTATAGATTTCATTACCACCTCATTACTACGCCGTAACGATCGATATTACCGATGCCGGTAGAGTCATATATGTATTCCGTCCGGTAATGATCCGTAATAATTCAATACCAGTTGCCTAAGAGTGTACGATTTAATTAACACCTTGAAGATTGATGTTCAGGATGCAGGATGATTATTATTTTTGACTTAATTTGGAATTGATTTCCAGAAACAATGTTCGACTGGGACGTTCCCCTTAACTTCTTTCAGCACGATCTCGCCCTTCAGTACGATATGTTTGTTAAGTGAGTTAATGAATTAAGTTAACGATTAAGTAATTAAAATAACTAAGCATTCTACATATTTATGTACAAATTATTCATAAAAAATGCTCTAAAAGTGGGACTTACGCCGCTTTTCAACCCGCTATCCAACCAAAGTTTCAGATCCCTTTGATGTGGAGGTTTTTCGGATATGGAGCCGGTTTCCAGAAACTTGTAAACTTTATGGAAATATATTTCCCAAAAGAGGTAATGATTTTTTAACTAAATTCACACATATTTAAATAACTACTTGTTCTTTTTTTGTGGAAAAGTAAGTAAATTCTCCTCGTTTTAGTTCCTCAAAGGGAAAATGGACGAGTGGAAAAGCTACGAAAAGAATGGTGACAAAATAATAAAACACATGTTTTCCACCTGTGCCTATTTTTGTGAAAATTTGTAAAGAGTGGTTAAAAATTAGGATAATTTTTTTTCCCATTTCTAGCTGCACTCCCGAAGAGGATGAAGTATGCCAACCTGCTTTACACGAAATGGACAAAAGAGGAACTCGTGACTTGCCAACTGTACACAATTCTTACTGGGGTACATATTTTTTAACTGTTGAAGATCAGGGTTGTTAAAACATAGTGAATTTTGAAACTGTAAAATTTGCTTTGTATTTACACTGCCAGAAATCTGGTATATGCACGCGGATATTGATTTCTCCTTTGATTTCTCCTTTGATTTAGCCTTGCTCACGCTTGGTAATGATTTGTTACCGATGTTGTAAAACTTTAATAAGTACCGAGACAATGCGGATTCGTGGAGTCATATTTATATGAATTCCACTTGGTATTATTTTAATACTGGATTGTTGAAAAGTTTTTCTTCAAATAGAAATTTTGAGAAATTGTACTTATTAAAAACATTTCCTGAGCAAGACCTAAAAAGACATAAAATTTTCTTTCAAATTTTCAGGCCGTCGATTCTACCGACTCCGTCTTATGTGTAGCGTTGATTCAGCTAGCAAAATTCAAAGAAGTTCAGACGAACGCGTATTTGGAAGCGAGACGCGTGATTGGACTAGATTACGATAACACGCTAAGCATCGCGGATATCAATAAGTTGAAATATATCGAAATGGTTATCAAAGAATCGATGCGACGAATCTCACCTACTCCCGTGCTCACGAGAAAGGTTGGAGAGGACCTAAATTTGGGTTAGTATTTTGAGTTAGTCAATTATGTAGGTCAAACTAGTCAAAATTGACAAATTATTAACTCGACAAATAAAAAAAAAATTAGAAATTTGATTTCTCTAGTAAAAAATAATTTCGAAATATTTAGTTTTCATTAAATATGACAGGAAATGGGTTCATGATTCCAAAAGATACGAGCGTATTCATCCCTCTCCATCTACTCCATCACAATCCGGAACTCTTTCCTGACCCGAATGCCTTCATACCGGAGCGATTTTTACCCGAAAATGTGGAAAAACGACATCTTTACGCATACCAACCGTTCGGTGGTGGACCGAGGAACTGTATTGGTACGAAAAAATAAGATTCAATTAAATGCAACAAAATTAAGTAAAGATAAAATATAAACATAAATAAAAATAAAAATATTTTCTCTAACCACTTGCTTAAGCCAAGATTGTTTTTAATTTTGTGAAATTTAACGTTTTAAAAGATAGATTCCCACATTCTTAGAAATCTAGTATTGCAACAATACCAAGCGGTATTCATGTAAATGAGTATTGATACCTACATATTTCATACCATACAGTATCTAGGTAATAGCTCGGTATTAAGGTTTTAACATTTTCGCTTGCAAATTTTTACGCATCTTTAATATCAAATAGTATAAATGTTAATACCGAGAAATCAATACCTGCCTGACTATACCAGATTTCTAACAATTCAATGTATGTAAATTTTCACCGAGTTTTACTAAATATTCATGCATATTTCAGGAAAAAAGTATGCCATGATGGAGCTGAAGTTTGTCTTGGCGAAACTACTCTACAAATTTGAGGTGATCTCGTCCATGAAAAATCTGGACGACTTAAACCTCGAGTACACTCCATTCACCAAGATTCGCGGCGACTTTAGGATTGGGTTACGCCAACGTCGCGACATTTAAATTTTTTCTTTGCAGAATTTGGGCGATAATTGTCATTTAATAGGAAAGGAAAATTTCCAGCGAGACTGTGAATGAAGTTAGATGAATAAATTATTAGTTATTGAAAATATTTCGTAACCATTTGACCCAATATTTTTTTAAACATATTTATAAATCAGTAAGTTTTAAATTTGACCGTGTATATTATTCGGAGGTAATATAAAAAAAAAATTTGCGTTCCGTTAAATCAAAATCATTTACTGCTAAAGGGTTTATCACATATACAATACATAAATAAACCGTTAAATGCATGTAACGAAGTGGTAAAACCGAGAATTTTATAAAATTTGTGAGGTGACATATGTATCAAATTTGACATTTGGTGTCAGTTAACAGTTAACAAACAGTCATTTAACAATTTTGTGATCTTTGAGGTCAAAACGGAGGTCAGCATTGAATTCGGTCTTAAATTTCATGTCAAATTAACATATATGTGCAATTTTACCCCTACGTGACCTTTTGGTGACCTTTTGACCTTGACAGGTATGACCCACAGTGCCATCTTCGAACTTGACCTTTGCTCTTATATAAAGTATTTATGTTCCAAATTTCAATTCAATATATCAAACCGTTCTTGAGTTATCGCGCGGACGGACAGACAGACGGACGGACATATCAATCTTATAAAGGGGTTTCACCCCTTAATAAGTTGTATTCGCAGGGTTTGTGTGACTTATTTAGTAAGAAGTTATGCAGAAAAATGTATCACAAAAAGTATCGCAAAAAATGACTACGCAGGAGCCGTACAAAAAGGGTCCCTAAACTACTGCTTAATATTTCCAAGGCAACACGGACCCGAATATTAAAACTAAATTAAACTTATCCGAGCAACTTGGCAAATTAATTGGAAAAATGTGTTCACCATAAATATCTAAACACTGGTACATTTAGCAACACAATTAATCGTCCAATAAAACACCTATCCGCTACTGCAGGTACAACGAGCTCTGAAATAACTTGGTTGGAAATAACTAATTGAAATAAGGAAAATTACAAGTAATTCACCCGTTAAACATGATGAACAATTTAATGCACTAATTTCACATTTACTGCACTAATGCAAGTCGTAATGTTTTCTAAAACATGTGCTATTAATTCATCCAACGAGTTGTAGTTCAACGCGTGGAAGGAAAGCATACATAAATTTTAGTGTACATAGTTTAATACGTGATGGTTATGGATTAAAACGGTCATTGGTAGCAGTTTGTTCCTTACAATGGGGACACAAACCATGTTTAGCGCAGATTAATTTTTTACCAACTTAAAATTTCGAATGGATCTTGCACAAATTCGCAAAATTAGAAAGTTAAAAGCACCGCAAGTTTCGCGAAAGTATTCGGTTTTTCAACCATATCTGTACTTTCCTGTGACTATCTATATAATAAGCTGGAAATGTTTGTCTGCAACGAAAGTGAAAGTAATTTTCCGTGACGGAAGTGAAAGTGGAGAAATTGATTTGCATATCAGCTGTTTTGGAAGGTTGACAAGTCAGTTATTCAGGATTTGCTGGTTAGCTTATCAGGAAAGGAAGTTAACAGAAATAATTAAATGCGGTTGTCGCTCTGCTTGGGGGAATAATTGGTTGTATCCATTTTGACTCTGGTGATCGCTCTGCTGGGGGGAGTGGGAGGGTGTGCCCGCCTGGGATAGGGTTACCGCTCTGCTGGGGGGAGTTGGAGGGCTTGCCCCCCTGGGATGTGGTTACCGCTGTCCTGGGGGGAGTTGGAGGGCTTGCCCCCCTGGGATGTGGTTACCGCTGTCCTGGGGGGAGTGGGAGGGTGTGCCCCCCTGGGATAGGGTTACCGTTCTGCTGGGGGAGTGGGAGGGCACCCCCCTGGAATGTGGTTACCGCTCTGCTGGGGGAGTGGGAGGGCTTGCCCCCCTGGGATGTGGTTACCGCTCTGCTGGGGGGAGTGGGAGGGTGTGACCCCCTGGGATAGGGTTACCGCTCTGTCGGTCGAGTGGGAGGGCGTGCCTCCCTGGGATATGGTTACCGCTCTGCTGGGGGAGTGGGAGGGCATGCCCCCTGGGATATGGTTACCGCTCTGCTGGGGGAGTGGGAGGGCTTGCCCCCCTGGGATGTGGTTACCGCTCTGCTGGGGGGAGTGGGAGGATGTGCCCCCCTGGGATAGGGTTACCGCTCTGCCGGGGGGAGTGGGAAGACGTGCCCCCCTGGGATATGGTTACCGCTCTGCTGGGGGAGTGCCGCCTGGGATTTGATTATGGCTCTGCTGGGGGAGTAGGATGGAGTGCCCCAGAGGTCAACACCGACGAATTTGCCGGCGGCGGCGGCGCCGATTTTGGAAGATTTTTCGGCGGCGTGGCGGCGCGGCGCGGCGCCACAATGTTGTAGGTATAGGAGGTAAGATTTATCGGCGTCGGCGGCGCGTAAAATACTACCGGCGTCTGGCGGCGCGGCGGCGTGTAATCGGCGGCGTTGACCTCTGGAGTGCCCCCCTTATATATGGTTACCGACGTTCCGTTCAGGTCCATTCATTCAGGGCCGTTACCAAACCAGTGATATGCCTGAATGATGGGAGGGAGAACGGATTCCGTTCCCTTCATGGGTACCCCATATTTACATTGGATTGTATAAATTACAAGATAGATTTACTTAGCTTACACATAAGGGAATGGGATTCCCTTCCTCTTCCATTCCCTATGGATATACTTCAGATGAAGTAGTGGAATCTTCGTATCAAGGGAAGGGAAAGGGAATGGATTTCCCTTCCCTTTGGATATACTTCAGATGGAGTAGTGGAATTTCCGCAGCAGGGGAAGGGAACGGGAATGGATTCCGTTCCCTTCATGTGTGGACTATGTGATGGAAGGAATTATGGGGGTGCCGGGCAATAGCCGGGGAGTTTGCATATCGAAAGTGTTTAAACCCCCAGTGTTGGGTGTGATCTGTTTGTGGGGTCGCGCACCTAACGGTCCACTACCTCTGTTTGAGTTTGCCCAATTGGGATGTGGTTATCACTCTTTGTTAACAGATTTTGAATCGGGTATAACAATATGATGTTGATTTTCCTGGGATCCATTCGTTGTGACCATATATTTATTACCAAATAATAATATATAGTATGTCATGAGCATTGTTTAGATTTCTTTAATGTTTTAATTTTCCTTCCATCAACTCAAACCATCAATTTCACGTTCTTTACAAATTCCTTTCACTTCCGTCCGTGACAGAATTTGAGCTAATTATATAGATTAAAATATTTAAATGGTTAGAGTTTTGTAAAAGTCCACTCAATTTTAATCAAAATCAAGTATGTAAGCTCGCGCCCGGCGGGAGACGGGTTTATACGCTAGTCCAGATAAATTATGAAAGTTGGATCCCAAATTTTGTGAATGAAAAATTAGTGCGAAAAAAACAACGGATGTAATTCACACCAGGAAAAATCTCAAAACAGTTCGATTAAAATTTAAGGAAATCCCTCATTAAATATGTAGTTACTTAATTTCCAATTAGATTAAATTGATCTAATTTATTTAAGTACAGCAATATCTTATTAGAAGTAATTTGGTGCTTGAGAGGTTAAAATCTTAAGTGGACTGCTTTTTTACCATTGATGAAGTCAGGATACTTTTATATTTAAGTGAAGAAACACGAGAAGCTGGTTAAGAATATTTTTCGACAAACTATCAAGTTTTTTCAATATTTTTTTCAGATTTTTCACCACTGTAATGTGGCATTTGATAGCACTTTTTTTCATAGCAGTGATCATTTGGCATGTTGTTTACTGCAATTTTTCCTCCAAGGGGTGGAACATTAATAAATTTCCGGGCCCGACATACATCCCGCTGGTTGGATCCATGTTAGTTTTTGGGGATATGCAAAGTACGAATAAAAAATTACGCGTAATTTTTTCATGTTTTGAGAAGAAATTTGTAAATTTGTAGATTTTTTTGATCATAAGAAGATGAGGTTTCCGCAAGGAACGAGCCGAATCTGGTTGGGCTTCACACCGATAATTATAACGACGGATTGTGACGTGATTCAGGTAATTGCTCATTTGCATACTTACATATGCATGTAGAAACAAGTGCAAATATTTAAGTAATAAGGGCAGGTAATTTATATTTCTTATCCGCAAATACAGGGTGGTTAAAATGTCAGGTTACAATGGAAAATTTTTCAATGGGAAAAATTCGTAAATTTCAATTAGTTGCGGATTTGGGATTGAGATTTTTATGAATTTTTATCAAACCATTTGAAAACACTGATGACAAAATTCTAAAAATATTGAATTTCAGAGGCAAAATTTCGGTAACTAAAGGGGATTTGCGAATTTTTCCCATTATAACCTGACATTTAAACCACCCTGTATATAGTTAATTATTAACCGAACGTCTCAAAATCGGAACAAAGCTTGCAATTTTCCACTTTGTAACAAAATCGATTTTTAATGTGTGGAAGATTAACCTCCTGCGTATGTACATACTTGTAAGGTTTCATAAAATTTGCAACTGAAGTATTAAATTTTTCATTAATTTGTATAAAGGCGAATATTTATTTTTAACAGTTTCATACTTTTTTTACAAATAACTGGAAAAGTTAACTTCTTAACTGTGGCAAGTGAAAGAAAATCACAAAATTTGAGAAGAAAAATATCAACTTTTTACCTACCACATAGTTTTCTACAAAATATCAAAGAAACGCTCATAAATATTTATATTTTTTCTGATTTTGGTATCTTTATAAGTTCATATATATATATTTCTGAGTATTTCATCCTCAAGAGGTTTATATGGATTCGTTTATTTCGCAAAATTCTCACGGAATTTTAGCAATTGCTACAATCTTCAATTTACAAATTGATTCAAAAGTTATTATTTATTAGTGTGCTACAGAATTTTAATTCCTCATATTTAGGAAATATTGACGTCACCGGCGTGTTTTGACCTTGCTGACGAAGTATTTACCCCTTTACAACACACCGTCACGGAGGAGTCTATCATTATATCGTCAAATAAAGGTGGGTATTTTCTAAAAACTAAAAATTTGGACTACACTCTTAAAAATATGGTCACCCGTTTTGAAAAGCTAATTCACTCCGAATTCCATACGAAGCAAACTAAGAAAAATGCAGAGTATTATCAACTTATTAAAAATTTATCTGGATTTAGCATCAGTGGTTTATTTAAGGTTCCCATGGATGACGCGTTGGCACGTAATCTCACTCTCCCCCTATCCAATATGTTCAAATGCAATTTCTACATCAAATTGAATCAAGTCCATAAGTTTTGGGATAAATGCAACTTTTGATATTTCAATATAAAGCTAATTTTTGGTACTACAAAAAAGTCGATTTGGAAAAATTAGTGAATTAATTTCTGAGGCAATTTAGTATTAAAAATTGCCAACTATTTGGCTAATTTTTATTAAAATCCATTTGTTTGTAGGACCAAAAATTAGCTTTACATTTAAATATCAAAAACTTGCATTTATCTCAAAACTCATGGAGTTGATTCAATTTTAGAAATTGCATTTGAAGACATTGAATAGGGGTAGGTTACGCGCCAACGCGTCATCCATGGGAACCTTAATTTAGTATTCAGACCACATTTACTTTCAAACGGGTAAAATTGTTTTTAAGAGTGTAGTTTACCTACTAATTTCTGCACTTATTTACGAATGCAGATGACAAGTGGAAGAATCAGAGGAAAATATTATCTCCCGGATTAAGTGCGAGCATGCATCCCGAATTTCTCACCGCGTTCCACACCCACCTCCCAAACTTGATGGAAGTGCTGGAGGAGAAGTGCAAAATTGGAGGAGAGTTCAATCCAGACAATCTTTTTGGCAAGTTTGCCATGGGTGTGGCGTTCGGTAAATGAATAAAAAATGCTATTGTTAACCTATTATTATGCTTTAGAACCATTTGAAAATCAAAAGCGAAATGAACTTATTGGCGACATAAGTTGCTGTGGGGGGGGGGCACAGAGAGGGTAATATCATAGGGGAAGGAGGGGGTTGCTAAAAGGAAATGATAAAATTTTGCTAAATTTCTAGAAGGGGGCAATGTCCCCCTGTTGCTCTATTCAGCCGCCAATTACTTATTTAGATATAGGGAACGTCCATATATTACGTCTTCATTTTAGTGAGTGGGTGATTTGGTTTTCGTCTTGCTATCTTTCCCATGTTAAATTCCCTATCCCTTAAAGTTTACGTTGGGTGGGTGGGTGCAAAAATTGAGAATTTCGATGACCTAATATATGCATGACCCCATATTGCGAGTGACCATGTGGGTTAAGGATTACAATTTTTTAAGTCTAGTTATGAATTGGGATTAAATTATGTAGAAAGTCATAGGATTTACATCAGAGATTAAGGATTAATTCTTAAATAATTGGAATTATGCAATGATTTTGTGCCTAATTTTCAGAGACAATCCTCGACTGCAGCGTTCCCTTAAACTTTTTTCAGCACGATCTTGCCCTTCAGTACGAAATGTTTGTAAAGTGAGTTAGTTAGTAATTAATAATAGCTAAATTTACATATCTATAAGCAATCATTTAAATTAAAAGTGGGACATATGCCGCTTTTCAACCCGCACTCCAACCGAAATTTCAAATCCCTTTAATGTGGAAGTTTTTCGGATATGGGTCCGAGGTCCAGAAACTTTTCGACTTTATGGAAATATATTTCCCAAAAATGGTAGGGTTTCAAATACTTACAAGTTAGATATTTATTTTTAATGAAAAAGTAAAAAAGCAGTTCGTGTTTGTTTAGTTTCTCAAAGAGAAGATGTCCGAGTGGAAAGGATACGAAAAAAATGGTGACAAAATCATACAAAATCATGTTTTTTCCACACTCTTAAAAATACTGTTACCGTTTCGAAAAGTATCTAAATACAGTCTGAATTACATATTTGTCGTTTGCATATTGGTCGCTTACATATTCGTCGGGTTACATATTTGTCGGGTAGCATAAATGCCGTTTACATAAATGTCGTTACATAAATCTCGGTTACATATTTGTCGTATCACCCATATGTACTACGTAAATTGTACTAAATTCATAGTAACGCTAACTTGATAACGAGTACCTAATCATTTTATGCGACTCTTGTGCACATGCGCAAAACTCGGCAAATTTTAGGCGTCCTAAGTTCACCATGGCGCATCGGTATTCCAGCGAAATTTGTGCCTTGTGACAGCTTTCGCGCCCTTAACTTTGCTAAATTTTGCGGACCTGCGCTTGTGTCGGACAAAATGTTGAGCTCCTCTTTCAAGGTAACATTGTCAAAAAATAATCTGGGCTGAACCTAGTTTGCGTCCCCATTGTTGCTTTACCTATATAAATAATTCATAATTTCGAATGTATTTATTTTCCAAAAGGGTTACATTATTTTTAAGAGTGCAACTCGTTGATAAACCGAAGTTCAATATGGTTGTCCTAATTTTCAGGCGCACTTCCGAAGAGGATGAAGTATGCGAACCTCCTGTATAAAAAATGGACAGAGGAGAAACTTGTGACTTGTCAATTGAGCACGATTCTGGCTGCGGTACGGAGTTTTAGATTTCTTACGAATGAATAAGATTTCCAAAATAAATACGGCGAATTTTAAATTTTCGGAATTATGTAAATATGCAAATTTTGAGACATTTAAATAACGATTAACTCCCTCTTTCACTTTAAAAGATGGGCAAAATGCTGTAAGCAGACAGTAACAATACGCACATATGTTACTCTCTGTCGTGGTAATAATTTGATACCGACTGGTAGGTACATAGTAACTTATACACCACGCTGGTACTACATAAGTGTAACCATTGGGTGAAGAATATTGCCAGAGTGGTAATAAATTTACTATTAATCGGTAACAAAATTATTACTTTGGTAGTTGAGTCTCATAAATATTTATAACTACCGCTTGGAGATAGATGTTACCTGATTTTTTAGAGCGTCAGAACACTACCACATTGTTACAAAAGCACATATATTGTATTCCATTCAAGTATTAATTTGGTAGTAATATTCTACCGGACTGGTTGTATGTATGTAGTTCGTATTTAATTAGTAAATTTTTAAGTACCATAATATTATGGTACGAAACCTTAATGCTCATCGTTACAATGCTGGTAGTCTACACTGAACAGTAATGATTTACTACCTGTTTTTTAAGAGTGTAGTAAATTTTCTATTAAACTTTCAGACCGTCGATTCCACCGATTCGGTCTTGTGTGTAGCTCTGATTCATCTCGCAAAGTTTAAAGAGGTTCAGACGAACGCGTATTTGGAGGCGAGACGCGTGATTGGCCAAGATTACGATAACGCCTTAAGCATTGCGGATATCGATAAGCTGAAATATATCGACATGGTTATCAAAGAATCGATGAGGCGAATCACACCAACACCAGTGATCGCGAGGAAGGTCGGGAAGGACCTAAATTTGGGTGAGTTCTGCAATTTTTAGTTTCTGAAACTGTGTTTCTCCCAATTTGTCCAAAAATTGCAAAAAAAGTTTCCTCAGTTTCCTGATAAAATTTCCAAATTGCAATTATTAGGAAAGTTCCGGTGCCCTGAGACAACTAAGTATTTATCTAAACGTAAATACATAGCTTACAATTTCCAAGTACATAATTTGCATGTTTTATTAAACTTCCAGCAAACATTAATATTTACAAATAAAAAAACTTAATCAATTTATTTTTTATTTGAATTCGAAACGAGCACTTCTTTTTTAAATATGTAAACGGATTCGGAAAATTTTGCGTTTTTAATCTTAAAAAAATCTGATTTCGAAATATTTCACCTTCTACTCTGGCAGGAAATGGACTTTATGTGTAAATAAGAAACTTAAGAAATTTGTTTTGTAATTTGATTTGTAAATACTTTTGTGTAAAAAAATATTTCGAAATATATTATTCTCTCCTTTCGCAGGAAATGGGCTCATGATTCCAAAAAATACGACCGTTTTCATCCCACTCCATTTACTGCATCACAATCCAGAACACTATCCCGACCCGGATGCCTTCATTCCGGAGAGATTTCTACCCGAACATGTGGAACAGCGACACCACTACGCATACCAACCGTTCAGTAGTGGACCAAGGAACTGTATTGGTACAAAGATTAAAATATTTCAATACTTTTCGTCCAAAAAATATAGTCAAGCAAAATCTGACGGGTTGTCTGGTTGAAATTTTTCGCATGACAAAAATTATATTTAAGTCAAGAACAATTTGTCTATACTTTTTAACCAAAAGTAACTTTGTGCCGAAACGAAATTTTGCAACTATTTTTTGCGCATTCTTTTTCCTTAAAACCTAGCGTTTCATAATTCCCATTCCTACCGTAAGTTAGTAATATTTATGCATATTTCAGGAAAAAAGTATGCCATGATGGAGCTAAAGTTTGTTTTGGCGAAATTACTCTACAAATTCGAGGTGACTTCCACCATGAAAAATATGGACGACTTAAACCTCGAGTACACTCCGTTCACCAAGATTCGTGGCGACTTCAGGGTTGGATTACGGGAACGACGCCACACTTAAGTAAAATTCGCACCATAAATATTTGCTATGGATAAGAAAAATTTAACGAATATTGTAAAATTATGCTTAAACGAGATGAATAAATTGTCGGAATTAATTGATTGCAAATATTTCTCAAACTTTGTTTTGCATGAAATTCATCATTTAGTATGATTTGCGTGTGGAAAATGCGTCAACACAAAGATTTTTTTTCAATTAATACAAAATTCCGAAATTTCGTTAATCCAAAATTATTTTACTGCTTAATTCTTTCAAGCACACACTGAGTCGAATACTAGAAACAGGTTTAAATTGTCGGAACAAATTTGCGAACAAATTGGCAAAGTGTTAGCAGGATATTCACTTGAAAGTTTAACAACGACATGGATTACCCCATTCTAAATACATACATACATGCATGAAGGACGAGCACTGAACTTTTATCGGTTGGATAAAACCCAGCCGGATGGCAATAAGGAAAGCTACAAATGTACCCGTTGAACCAGACGACCAAATTCATGTATGTACGTACATGCATTTGGTCGTCAGTAACGTATTTACTGATTCTAATGTTTGTTCGCATGTAAATAAGTAACTTGTACTTTTCTTATTACTTGTTCATGCCCCTACCTACCTACACTCTTAGAAATGGGGTTACGATTATAAGCAAAAAGTAAACGTATGTGACTCTACCGCCGTGGTTATGAATTTGTCACCAACTGGTTATAAATTTATTAGCTCTACTGACAATTTAATACCAAGTCGGTGAAACTTTATAATTAGTCGGTGACAATTGTAACCACTCGATGACAAATTTATAACCACGGCGGTAGAGTCACATACGTTTACTTTTTGCTTATAATCGTAACCCAATTTCTAAGAGTGTAGGATTAGCTGATTCGTGTAGCAAATTTATGGAAATAAAATAGGTAAGTGCGAAACAATAGCGTATTTATGTAATTCAGGCCAGGAAAAACCCCAAAGCACTACATATGTATCTACATATGTAACACGAAACGGGTTCAATTAAAATTTAAGGAAATCCATCATTAAATCTGTACTTAAATAATCTCCAATAAGGTAAAATTGACCTAATTTGTTTTATTACAACTTTACTTTGTTACATAGAAGTAACTTCTTTCTTTGGAAGTTGCAACTTTGTATGTACTGATTTCAGTCGTGGAGAAATTTGCCATATTTTTACATACATATTTATACATACATAAGTTAAGAAATCTTGGAAATTGGTCAAGATTATTTTTTCCAGAAACTAAAATCAAGTTTCGCATTAATTTTTGCGCCATTTTACATTTCTACAATGTGGCATTTGATCCCACTTTTTTTCATAGCGGTGCTCACTTGGCATGTTGTTTACTGCAATTTTTCCTCGAAGGGGTGGAGCATTAATAAATTTCCGGGCCCGACATACATCCCGCTGGTTGGATCCATGTTAGTTTTTAAGGATATGCAAAGTACAGGAAAAATTGCGCATGATTTCGTTTGTCTGGAAATCAAAATTTTGACAGATTTTTTGATTTTTTAGATTTTTTTGACCCCAAGAAGATGAAATTTCCGCAAGGAACGAGCCGAATCTGGTTGGGGTTTAAACCCGTAATTATAACGACGGATAGTAACGTGATTCAGGTCAGTGTACATTTGCATGCATGTGCAAAAATTTGAATATTATGTAAGGGCAAGCAAATACTATATCTGATATGCAAATAGTTAATTAAGTATAAACCGAACTCGTCACTTGATTGAAACAAAGTTTGCAGTTTTTGTACGGTGTTACGCAGCCTGTTGTAAATTCGTTAACCACTTGCGATATTTTTACAAAATTTGCAACCTAAACATCAAATTTGCACGATTTCTTACAAAATGCGAATATGTATTTATGTATTTTAACGAGCATCCAATTTTTAATATTTTTATAAGAAACGGAAAATTAGCTTGTTACCCTTTTGGCAGGATTAGATATTTTAAGAAAATTCCAAAATATGAGAAGAAAATATCAAAAGAATCAACTTTTCCTGATGGAGTAATAATTTATTTGTTTCGCAAATTATCGCGGAATTTTAGCAATTTCTCCAGTCATCTGTTTACAAACTTAGTTAAGAATGAATTTAGTTTGTCAATGATCAAATTTAATTCCTAATATTTAGGAAATATTGACGTCGCCGGCCTGTTTTGATGTAGCCGATGAATTATCTGTACCATTGAAAAACACAATAACGGGCGAGTCACTGCTTATAGCCTCCAACAAAGGTGGGTATTCAACACAAATTAAAAACAGGTATAGTAACGCAAGTATTGATTATTCAATATTAAAGTTGCTACCACTTGGCACTAAAATTATATCTACCGGTCCAGAAAAATTTGCTACCGATATGGTAAAATTTTGACACCATGGTACATATTACAATACGGTATTACTTACAGAGAGTTATAATTTTGTATAGGCACTGTTGATAAAATTAATTTTGTGTCCGAAGTACTCGTCGATGAATTTTTTTATGTTTTCCACGTGTTTCTCATCCTTTTTTGATAAGGAACAAAGTTGTCGTCTCCAAAAATTAAACATTTTAAGGCACACTTCATAGGTCAGTTTCCTACACTCGCCATCCAAAAGTTTGCAAAATCCATAAAAACAATTACGTACAATTTTCTTAAAAGTGTTGTCCTGAGGTTCCCATTTTGAAAAAAATACAAAAGGTGTATAAGTTGACGTAACCAACGTATCTTTGTGCAAAATAATTATAATTCCGAGTACTTCAACCACATTGATGAATAGTGAGCAGTGATTCTTACGGTTCAGATTTTGAAAAAGTTTGTGGTTTCACACTATTTTCAATGTCATATCCTCAAATTTTGTCGAAATACCACACAATTAATTTTTTTATAAACCAGGGATCGTATTCTTTCTTTCCCAACTCGTTTTATGCTAAGAAACTATTTTTGTGAGAGCACGGTCTATGTATGCCACGCGCGTCTGGTTTCGCAATTGTTGAGGGTGGTGCGTTAGGAGACTCTAGCAAACTGAGATTTATGTTTCTGGTTGATTTTGGAATATAATTGTTTGCACTGAACTCAATTCTATCAAAAACCATATTAATCGCATTGATAAATTATATAGGTACTTTTTTAGGGGTCATTTTTGGTGTGCAAAGTCATTTAACGGTATGCTACACTTGGGGCTCCATTTGCGGGCCCAGATTTCGAAATTTTAAAATGGAATAAATTGAATCTTTGTTCAACTTGAATTATAGTTTTAAAATAGATTACAACATTTTTAATTTGCCCAGTAGATTTTATATATATGGGCAATTAGCTACTGTGCCTATACAAAATTATAACCCTCTGTATTTATCAATAGTACGACTTTGGTAGAGTCAAGTATGTAAGAATACATCTTGATATTATTTTAATCCCGGATTTCTAAGAGTGTACCCCAAACCCAGTAAACCGTTAATGCGATAAATAGTTAAGTTTATTCTGGAATTAGTATTCTTTACTTAATTTATGTAGAATTCAAACTGAATGAACTTACTTTTCAAAACGGTGACATTATTTTTAAAGAGTAGTTTATTTTAATAAATTTTATACTTATTTCTTTATGCAGATGACAAGTGGAAGAGTCAGAGGAAAATATTATCGCCCGGATTAAGTGCGAGCATGCATCCCGAATTTCTCACCGCGTTCCACACCCACCTCCCAAACTTGATGGAAGTGCTCGACGAGAAGTGTAAAATCGGGGGAGAGTTTAATCCGGACAATCTTTTTGGCAAGTTTGCCATGGGTGTGGCGTTCGGTAAATGAATATAAAGTGCAATTTTTTACTTTTTATTTTGGATCAAAAAACCAATAAAATTATTAATTAATGACAAGGATCGACGAATGGTTAAGAATTGAACTATAAAATTGTAGGATTGGCAATTTGGATTAGGGATTAATTCTTACAACAATTGCAGTTATGAATTTAGGATGCAATTATAAAAAATTGGGATTAAGGATTAATTTTCAAAATATTGGAATTATTGTTGGATATGAGATTAAATTTGGAAATCCTAAGGTTGACATCAGGGATTACGGATTAATTTACGAAAAATTGTTAAGGATTTTGATTTAATTAAAAAAAATCCTAGGGTTCACATTAGGGATTAAGGATTAATTCTAAAAAAAACAGGAGTTATTACTTAATATTCACGTGTGCGATATATGACGGATTTGCACTCAATTTTCAGAGACAATCCTCGATTTCGACGTTCCCGTGAACTTTTTCCAGCACGATCATGCCCTCCAGTACGAAATGTTTGTAAAGTGAGTAAATTCAATAATTAATTAATGATGAAATCATATAAATAACTAAACAAATTACACACATGCCCTGAAAGTGGGTCGAATGCCGCTTTTCAACCCGCAGTCCAACCAAAATTTCAAATCCCGTTGATGTGGAGGTTTTTCGGATATGGAGCCGAATTCCAGAAACTTTTCGACTTTATGGAAATATATTTCCCAAAAATGGTACTGCTTTAGACCAAATACTTTAATATTTTAAAGAATTATATAGTTTTTTATAGAACAAAGTTCATAAATAGTTCGTTTTTATATGTGTAGTTTCTTAAAGAGAAAATGTCCGAGTGGAAAAGCTACGAGGAAAATGGTGACAAAATCATAAGACAAGTTTTTTCCACACTCTTAAAAATAATTCTACCTTTTTAAAAATAAAATGAAATTTGAATCCTGAATTACCTAAGTAAACTATGCATATTTACTAAATCTAGAGTAACGTTGACCTGATCAAGACTAAAGTTTGCGCTGGATTTAGAATAGTTTACACTAAATTTCTAATTTCGAGTGCATTCATTTTTCAGAAGGGTGACATAATTTTTAAGAGTGCAAATCTATAAAAATTTGATAAACCAAATTTCAACATCATTCCAGGCGCACTTCCGAAGAGGATGAAATATGCGAACCTCCTGTATAAAAAATGGACAGAAGCAAAACTTGTGACTTGTCAATTGAGCACAATTCTGGCTGCGGTACGGATTTTTAGATTTCTTATGAATAAGATTTCCAAAATAAATACAGTGAATTTTAAATTTTCTGATTTAAATATAAAAATTTTGAGAATTATTCAAATAATGATAAACACATAATTATGTCTTTAACTTAAAAAACAGTAACAATGCCATAACCAGGCGGGGACTCTCCGTCATGGTAATAAATTGATACCTACGGGTAGTAAATTTTGCGGGTAGTACATTTTGTGGGTAATACATTTTGCCGGAATATTGGCAAATTTAACCTTTGTAGAGTGTCAGAACACTACCACATTGTTATAAAATCACACATATTATACCACCGACCAGTATTAATTTGGCCGTAACATTTATGTAATACCAATTTTTTAAGTAAATTTTATTTTAAAATTTCAGGCCGTCGATTCCACCGATTCGGTCTTGTGTTTAGCGCTGATTCATCTCGCTAAGTTTAAAGAGGTTCAGACGAAAGCGTATTTGGAGGCGAGACGCGTGATTGGGCAAGATTACGATAACGTCCTGAGCATCACGGATATCGATAAGCTGAAATATATCGACATGGTTATCAAAGAATCAATGAGGCGAATCACAAACACTCCTGTGATTGCGAGGAAGGTCGGGAAGGACCTCAAATTGGGTAAGCTTTTGAACCTGAGTTTATCATAATTTGTCTGAAAATTGCAAAAAATTCTAAGAAATAATTTCCTTCTAAATTTTCAAACCATAATTATTTGTTGGAAAAATTCCGACAGAAGTATTTAACTAAGCGTCAATTTCTTGAAATTGGGAAGTACATAATTTGCAACATATGTATCTAGTTTATTAAACTTCCAACAAACCTTAATTTTACAAATAAAAAAAGCTTTTTATTTTATAATTTGACTTCTATATAAATAAAATTTAATTTAAATAAATTTAAATTTACTGTGTTTTCATGTAAAAAAAATAATTCGAAACATATTATTCTCCCCTTTCGCAGGAAATGGGCTCATGATTCCAAAAAGTACGAGCGTTTTCATCCCTCTCCATCTACTCCATCACAATCCGGAAGTCTTTCCCAACCCGGATGCCTTCATTCCGGAGAGATTTTTACCCGAAAATGTGGAAAAGCGACATCGCTACGCATACCAACCGTTCAGTAGTGGACCGAGGAACTGTATTGGTACGAAAATTGAAATATTTTCAATAATGCTCGTTCAAAAAAATAAGGACAAAAGAATTCTTAGGGGTTATCTGGCAGAGATTGTTTACATGACAAAACATACTTATTTACATACATATATATACTATGTTTTATACATTCTTTGCGCTTCTTAAAAATACTGTAGAAAGTTTCAAAATTTCCATTCTCATCGTAAATTTTCATAGTAATAAAATATTCATGCAAATTTCAGGAAAGAAGTATGCCATGATTGAAGTTAAGTTTGTCTTGGCGAAACTACTCTACAAATTCGAGGTGACCTCCAGCATGGAAAATATTGACGACTTAAATTTCGAATACGCCCCATTCGCCAAGATCCGTGGCGACTTCAGGATTGGATTACGGGAACGCCGGCACATTTAAGTTAAATTCGGACGCTAAATATTTCCTATCAATTGAAAATTTTCATCTGATATTTTAAAATGAAGCGCAACCGGGATTAATAAATTATGATAAGTAAAATCACTCAAAATAATGTTTTCAAATTTTTGAAATACGCTCTAATGAACACACTAATTTTGCTGTTAAACGTTCACGTGGATATCTTACACGAATTTTGCCAACTTAAGGAGACAATTTTAACCTATATATTTCTACATATTCGACTCATCCTCAGTGTTCGTTATCTTGAGTGAAACACTTTGGCATAATGACTGCGAATAAAACGAATTTCAGGATTTTGCATACATTAATTTCCAACGATTCATTGTGTTGATGTTTTTGCCACTTACTAATATTAGTAAGTTTTATTCGCAGTCATTTTGCTAAAGTGTTTCTCTCAAAATAACTAACACTGACTACGAGTTGAATAGTATGTAGAAATAGGTTAAAATTGTCTCCGCAAATTGGCAAGATGCGATCATGATATTCACGAACGTTTAACCGCAAAATTAGTAGCTTACATAATTCCCATTCATTCCAAATACTTAAATAAATGCGTGCAGAACGAGCACTGAACTTTTATCGGTTGGATACATTAAACCAGGCCTGACTCCATTAAGGAAAATTACAAATGTGCACGTTATATATGATGATCAGATTATGTATTGCCTGTACCGCCGTAATTTCCTTAAAACGTTGAACATGCCCCCAGACTCAATTCAATTCATTCAGCAATTTGCAGTAGAACTTGTTCAAGGACAACAAAAATAAAAGGTACTTGCCTTTAATACCTAAGTGTTATCCATTAATGTTAACGTTACGATCTTGTAACGCTAATACGGAGATTGTGAATTAAGGTTTTCACACAATTAGTTTTCATGGGCAAGTTAAGTTTGTTGTTAGTGGAAATGAAGAAGTTAACGTTCGCATGGAGACATTCAGTGGCGGCGGAAGATGACGTCATCGGGGGGACATTGGTATCCTGTCAATGTTAAGAAGTCCCGCCTTCTGATATCCTGCAACGCTAATGTCCCCCCGATAACGTCATCTTCCGCCGCCACTGGAGACATTAGAATTTAGTGCAAAAACCTTAATTCTGTATCACTGCATTAGCTAAATGCCGACTTGTGTGTTTTACTAAATCCCTGACTTGTTAATGAAATAAAAAACTAATTGAAATTTCAACACGTACCAGTTTTCGGTTGGAATGGAATTATATTTAGAAATTTGGGATATTGTAAAATTGCAAATGTGCCCCAGGAACGGGTTGGCACATTCGGTCAAGAGTATGTTCTGTGTAGCGTTGGAAATTTTACTTGTGACGTTGATTGCGTTAATTGTGCTACATTTTATCTACTGCAATTTGACAGCGAGGGGAAGAAAAATTAACAAATTTCCAGGGCCGAGCTACATTCCGTTGGTGGGATCTTTAATCGCGTGCAAAAATTTGAATGGTACAGTAATTTGTCGGTATTAATTAAATCGTAGAAACAAAGATGAACATATTATTCACTTAATTAGCAAATTTTTTGCAGATATGCGAATTTTGCAAGGATTCAATTTACTTATAATGTTTCTTCATAGATATTTTCATCCATGATAAGTTTTCTTACCTGCAGTACTAGTCATCAGTCGGTTTTTAATCCAATATTTTACTAGACTTACAGGAACTGAGACAGTTTACACTCTTAAAAATAATGTTAACATTTTGAAACTAAATTCACCCCGAATTCTGTATTAAGTAAACTATGCTAAATCCTTTGGAAATATTACTCTTTAACGAGTTAAAGTTTTTACTCTGGATTTGGTTTAGTTCACTACCCGGAATTAGAGTGAATTTTCTTTTAAAAATGGTAATATTTTTAAGAGTGTCCGTCCATTAATATTTCCATGGTTTTAGACATATTCAACTTTCGGAGAACTCCGTTTCCATTTGGCACCTCGTCCCGGGTGTGGATTACATTTCGACCTTTTTTAATCACCACGAACTGCGATCACATCCAGGTAAATATCTAGGCCCATTATTTACACCCTTAAAAACCTGGTATATGTAGCACTGATTTCTCTGTACCAAAGTTGTTACCGCCTGGCATAGAAATTATACTATTCTTTAAAAATTTTCCACCGATATGGTAAAACTTTGATGCTGAGTCTTTTCTACGGTTATTGCTGATCAATATGTGTAACATTTGAATACAGCTTGGTATTATTTAAATACTGGATTTCTAAGAGTGTAAGAAATAATTTTTTTTAAATTGAATGCCATGCGACCGTACTGTCAGTTAAATGTCAATAATTTCGTAACCAGAAAATCTTAACGTCCCCCCACTGCATGGATAAAGCACCCGAGCTTGCACTACCGATGCGTTTGACCATAATGGAAAATTCAATCTTGATCTCGACCAATAAAGGTGGGCTAATTGTATATGCTCTAATATTTTGATCCGAAATAACAAAAATCTAAGAAAATTGTCATATTTATTTTGATATAAAGGCGGGAAATGGAAATCCCAAAGGAGAACGTTATCCCCCGGACTCAACTCTAACTTGACGGACGACTTTTTACAAAGTTTCCACACGCAGACAAAGTATTTATTGGAAGCGTTAGAAAAAGAGTGCTACAACGGGATCGAATTCATTCCGGACGAACTCATGGGAAAATTTGCTATCGGCAACACATTCGGTAAGCAAAATTCTTAAAATTCAGGAGTTTTTTTAGATCTAAAAAACAATGAATCCAAGAAAGTGCTGGCCAAGTCTTTATGAAATAATTGCTTATCGCGAAAAAAAGTGTCTGCCGAAATTATGGGAAAATTGCTAAAAATAAGCGTAGACTAGCCGACTTAATGAGTTAATTAAACAATTAACTGTAGCATAAAGTGAGAGTTGATCGGAATCGCCTATTTCTTACATTTGTTGCACCGCGGATTGAAACTTGTTACACTGTAATTCATGAAACACAATCCGTTCAAGAAATAAAATACTTAGTACGTAAGTATCCAAACTGAAGAATTTTTGGGAAAAAAATTGAAGTACTGACTCCACCTTAGAATAAGTTTTGACTTACATTACAGGAAGTTTTCTTGTGTCATACGTATAATTTTTTAGAGTCTTTCCTGGATTGGGAAACATCTGTAAATTTCTTCAATGACGACCTGCCCGGCTTTTATGAAGTGTTTCGTAGGTATTTCTTAATCTTTCTTAATAAATATTAATCGACCCAATATTTTGATTATGTTTTTTTATGCTCGTCTTTCGCTTAGAGTTTTACATCTCATCTTCGTTCCAGCCACGAAGCCGATATACCAAATTTCCGTAATGTGGCGATTATCCGGGTATGAAAAGGAGTTGAGGGAAATGCTCTCATTTATAAGAGTTTGCTGGTCAAGACAGGTAGGAAAAAGTAGCAAACAAAAATTTAGATAGTATTTTTATACAAGTTTGCACAACTTCAGTTATTTTTTTCTAAGAAAATCATAATTTTGAGAATCTCGGTTAACAGTTTTGGGTAATACAAATGTTTATACCCATTGTTTTAGCATATGTTGGACAAAATGGAAGAGTTCAGACGACAGGAGAATAATGGTATGGTTAATCTTACTATTAGCCTAATAAGTGAAAAGGTCTCCGCATATTCAACATAGCAAAATAAGTACTCTGTTTAACGTTTTGTAGATATTTAGAAGTAGAACAGTAGTGTTAAATTACCCTTGAATTCGAAATTAACCTGTGTAACAGACGAGCATTTGGCCATTGAAGATGTGCTGTGACGTTTTCCACATTTTATTCTGATTTATTGTCAATTATGTTTTGCTTCATTGCTTTGAAAATAGGTGATCTGGGGGAGAAGATGAAGTATGCTCACATCCTGTACACCAAGTGGGACGATCCAGATGAAATATTCTACCAGTTTCTTACCATCGTTGCGGGGGTAAGTTGAGAAATTGGATTAGCTTAAATACATACGTATTTAGATTAATGTGATCCTAATACATTCGGTTACACACTTATTACACTGTTGTAATCTCAATAATTTTGTGATACTATTGTAACCGGCGGTGGTACATATTCTACCGCGTGGTAACCCTATTGTCATAAATTGTACCGGGGCGGTACGACTGCATAGTGCTTCCTCCGGTAACAATTGTGTCAACAATTATTTAGAGTGGAGTGTTTCCGATTTTTGGCATTTCTTGTAGAAATAAGTACAAACTTCTTGTGAAAAGGGGTAAAATTCGAATTAATTTTTTTGCAGGCAGTTGAATCCACCGAGTCCGTGATGGGTTCGACGCTTCTCTACATCGCGAAATTTCCCGAAGTACAAAGGAAAGTTTACGAGGAGGCGAAACGTGTGATTGGCGATGATTCTGAGAGGAAATTAAGCGTGGACGATGTCAGCAGGCTGACCTACTTGGAAATGGTGATTAACGAAACGATGCGGTTAATAACGCCGGGAACGGTGAATAATCGCTATGTCGGGGAAGACCTTGATTTAGGTTAGTATTACATTTTTTTAGGAAAATTGGAGAATTTAAATTTATCAGAAATATATTACACAGATGAGGAATTTAAGTGTAAAATTATGGAATTGCTTTTGATTACGTAAAATAACCATATTTTGAAAATTCGCTTCGCATTTTTCAGCGTGTGTTTCTAGCTATAATTGCTGCGAAAAGTCTTAAGAAATTTACACTTCTTGATGGAAATTGGAGAAATTAAATTTCTGAAAAAATAGAAATTATTTTAGTTACGAATGTAAAAATTCAAATCGCTAAAATTTACATTAACCATTTTTTTAACCAATGCGTCGAGCTTCCGGTTTTGTGAGAAATTTGATTTATTTACAATTTTGTGCCTTCATTTTACACCAGGTGACGGACTAATCATCCCAAAAGACACCAGCGTCTTCGTCCAGCTTCACCTACTTCACCGAAATCCGGACGTTTACCCGAACCCGGGTGAATTCGTACCGGAGCGATTTTCACGAGAGAATATAGACAAACGTCATCGCTACTCGTTCCTCCCGTTTTCGAAAGGACCTCGAGATTGTATCGGTTAGTTTTATTAATTTGATTTTCGTACATTTTGGAGATTTACGTTTCGCTTTTCTTCATTTTTACTTGAATTTCTGGATATTTTGACTTGCAATAATTTAAACGTGTCAAACTCTTATTTAGTTAGAAAAAATGGTGATATAGGTTTAAAATAATTTGAATAATGTAATTTTCATGAATTTGAATTCTATTTTAGGGAAACGATACGTTATGATGGAGATGAAAGTTGCCCTCGCCAAAATTGTGCACAAATATGAAATTTTTTCCAGTCTGGCCCACATTGACGATTACGACTTTGAATTCTGCCCGTTCGTCCGTGTTAAGGGCGGCGTTAAGATTCGACTCGAGGGGAGACGAAGCCAAGTGGAAATTTAATTAATTTTTATGTATCAACATTGAAAGAAATCATAACCTTGAATTTTACAATTCTAAAAAAAATTCTAAAAAAATTCTTAACAATATAGATATATCTATGACCCTCAGTAAATCTATGAAGACGTAGAAACCTTTAAGAGTTTGAAGAAAAACTCTCTGTAACTGTAGATTTTTCACTCTCTTTATGTAATAAAGAAGGACTTGAACTATTAAATGTAATTTCGAGGGAAACTTAACTTGGAAACTCTCACAATTCCATGAGTATAATATTAATTTAATTGTGTAAATGGTTGACAACTAAGGGCAGGAGTATTGTATGTTCAACAAAAATAAATCATATTTTATAACTGGAACTTTGTCATGTCCTTCTAACAAAACACGAGCCGATGTGTTTAGCCATGAAATAAGTCAAACAGGTGCAAACTATTTGTACATAATTAACGATTTTGTTCCTCAATTTTGCAACACATAGTGCAAAATCATTTATGTACCTTTTGCAAAATTATGCCCATTACCACACGCGCTTGCAACAAACACCACAAGATACTTAAATAAATTCCGATAACAGATGTAATAAAGTCGAGATCCACGCTTGAGGTGCATTATCTATTTGGTTAAAAAAACTGCCACTTTTGATTTGTCGACACTTCATGATTTTAAAACCAGTTTCCACAGTTATGTGGTCGATATTTGTACAAACGCCGAAATCATGACGATTTCTGAATTCTACACACGCGTCAAACTGACAATGGAGGTCTCCCCACATATGCTCGCAGATTTGGACCAAACTAGCGTCAATCGGTCACAAATTTAATTAGTGTGAAATTTGAAAATGGAACTATCTGCCGATGCACAGGTTTGGCGGAGATATTTACACCGTTAACGTCCGGGCGAATTCTAAGCGCTGTTGGTGTAAACCGCATGTCGATAATCACATCCGTTCTCAAGGAATCATGATGCGGACGGACGGGGTTTAACCCTTTAGTAAAAGGTCAGAGACGCAAGATTCTGAAAAATTTAAGAGATAATATTTCTTGATTAATATTTTGTACAATATGCCGAGGTTTCAATTTGTTTTTTCATATCCACCCTGGATGCCACATGCTGATGAAAATCTGCTTCACCCCGCGTACTCTGCATACATACAAGGAGTTAGTGGGCAAGAGTATCTTGCGAAAGTTCTCTGACGGACAGACAGACAGACCAGCAACTCGATAGCAAAAACTATGATTCACTCGTCCCGCTCGTAAATAATCTTGAATAACAAACTAAATGCACAAATGTGCAATATTTCATACGAATTTGGCACTTTTATTGGAAACCGCATGCACACAGGATTATACACTCTTAGCAACTTGGTAACAAAACCCAGAATTTAGTTAACACCAACCGGTGTCAACCTCAATTCCATTAAGTGGTGTCAAAACGTTGTGGAAAAATGACACTGACAAGGAAACATACCGAGGTGTCCAACGAGTTAAGGGTCGACACCTGTACCAAAATGACCACAACACATGACTTATTAAACAAACTGAAGGAATTTCCGTGTAAAATTCACTTTTCGTCACGTTGTGACGATATTTGTGACGAGCGCATGACCATCCGGTTGCCAGAGAGGGAGAGGTCGGCCGCTGAACGATCACGTCGAACACAGAGAAGCGTCGTCGTCTCCAGAGATTTCGAATTATTTCAAATTTTGAAATTTTGAAGAAAATTTAAAAATAATCTGAAATTTTGATGAACTTTTCAAAACATTTTAAAATTTGAAAAAACTTTTTGAAATTTTTAAGAAATTTCGAAATTTTGAAAAAATTTTGAAATTTTAAAAAACTTATGAAGTTTTGAAATAATTATGAAATTTTGAAATAATTATGAAATTTTGAAATAATTATGAAATTTTGAAAAAATTAGAGGCGTGTTAGTTATTTGAAATTTGAGATCTCTGAAGACAACATGTGTTCGATCTATCTGATCGTTCAGCGGCCGACCTCTCCCGCTGGCAACCCGATGGTCATGCGCTCGTCACAAATATCGTCACAACGTGACGAAAAGTGAATTTTACACGGAAATTCCTTCAGTTTGTTTAATAAGTCATGTATTGTGGTCATTTTGGTATAGGTGTCGACCCTTAACTTGTTGGACACCTCGGTATGTTCCCTTGTGAGAAGAAAAAACGCGTTTACACCCTAAAGGTATCAGCGATATTCTTGTAATGGTGTCGAATTGATACGGTGCGATGTTACCGCAGTAAACAAAACTTGGAGCTAACACAAAATTGTGTCAGTCTATTCGTAGAGAGAGCTCAATACTGTTTGGCGGCCATTTTTCTTCTCCACAAAAAAGTCAACAATTAATATCAGTGTGTTGAATTGATTTCGAGAGAAAAAATAGTTTTTTAAAGACTACTTCCAATTTCTTGACTCAGGTACGTTAATATCTACAACACATTAATTTGCCCTCATTTAATTAAAATAATTTTATTGCGTGTATTTTTATTTTGAAAACTAAAATTTTATAAATTTTATAAAAATTTTTATTGTTTCCAGTAAAGCTAAAACTCAACATTGGACCCAACGAGGGAGCCAAAATTGACGAATAAGGATTGACCACCTGGCAACCTACCTATTTAATTATTATTAAATCTCTTGTTGCAAAGTGAATTGAACTAGATTTACTCATAGATTTACTCATATTTTAGACCATCTCCGTGTTAAATACATATAAACTTTTACTGTAAAACTGCATAAGGTATGAAGAAAAAAATATTTAATTTGTGCGAGTTTAATAATTTTGTTACTTGTGAATATGCTTGAAATACTTGATTAACTTTTTAAGTGCTTAATATTAATGAATGTAAAATAAATATTTGTTACTAAAAGTTGTAGTTCAGTTGTCACAATCCGGGGACGATTTGTCACCGGGTGGTGGCATGCATATATTAAAGTGAACATATATTGTTACCTAGCAGTGTCGAATCAACATAACTGAGCACCACCTTTTTTCCATTCGCGGTGTTGCCATTGTCACAACGGTATGTTGGGTTGACACCGCAGCGGTGTGCAACATAATTGACACCGCGCTGTGTCCATTTGACACCAAACCGGTAGAGTCATATATAGACACCGGCATGGTATCAATTCGGTGTCGATTTTTCTGTGAGTGTATAAAACAAGCAAATATGTATATCATACACTGTAAATAATTTTGAGACAAATCGTCTCCCACGAAGGCACTATACTGCTCTATTTTTTGGTAACGATTATGGAGACGTTCTGTCACCAACGGGAAATAAGTCAAAAATGTGTGCACGAAACACATGTGACGTCGTAATTTAAAAAAAAAGCTGTGAGTATTTTTATTTGACCATATGATTTTTTTACATGAAAGTATTGCATTTTTTTAATGGCGACGTCATGCGTGTTTGGTACACGAGTTTTTGACTTATATCCCATTGGTGACAAAACGTCTCCGTAATCGTTACCCAAAAATAGAGCAGTATAGTACCTCCGTCGGGTGACGATTTGTCTCCAAATTATTTAGAGTGTACTAATATCATTTTAAAAAAATAGTTCAATCGATTGGTTTCGCCAGGATTAAAGCTTACGCAATGAATTTTGTCTTTGTCATCGTGTCCATCTGCATTCTAACCGTTTTTATCGAGGCATCGGACCGGGCAACCCCTTCCCGTTTGGATTACCGGAAATGGAACGGATTAAATGTCGTCAGCCCGGTTTACGATCAGGGACCGATCGAGTCCTGCTGGACTTTTGCGACTGTAAGCATTGATTGATAAAGAATTTATTGAGCTTAATCAATTTAATTGGCATTGATTAAAAAATGGAAATCAATTTCAGATGGGAGCACTGGAAAGTCAGGCATTAATGGCAGGATTTGACTATGTGAAACTTAGCGAGCAGCAACTTATTTCGTGTGGTATGGAATTACGGAATTTTGATAATTGTCAATTTCTTACAATTAGGATAAAGCCAAATATTCCCTGATTTTAGCTTAAAAATTCTTGTGTTGCGTACTAAATAGTAAGTCTGAATGGCTTTTGGTTTAATCAATTTTTACAGTTCCGACCTACCGGAGACCAGATTCCCCCGTTTCTGGGTGGGATCAGCAGAATGCGATCCGTTACTTGCGCGCTCGTGGGGCCATTGCAGACTCCGATTATCCGTACCGTTCCAACAAAACGAAAAGAACGGAGCGATGCAAGGATGCCGATTACGACTACGTTGACAAGTTACGGACCTGTGCACGCAAAAATTGCCTATTACGGAGGATAAATTGAAAACCGTGCTGTTTAGAAATGGACCGGTAATAATTATGTAAAACGGGTAGTGATCAACTACTGGATTCCTTCTAATCAATTAGGTAGACCGAAATTAGATGAAAACATTGCAATCTTTACTACACTGTCAGACATCTGGTGGTAATGCTGGTTTTGATCTTTCAAAAAGGTGATCTCCTGCTCGAAACATGAAAGCTACAATCCGGACTATAATGATGGGTACGGGACGGTGGGAAACCATGTCATTCTGCTCGTCGGGTACGGCACGAAGGATGGCGTGGATGTCTGGATAATAAAAAATTCCTATGGCACGAGTTGGGGCTATGATGGATTTGGCTATTTGACCCGCGAAATTGGACACGATTGTGGAATAACGCAACACATTGTGGCCTCCCCAATAATTGAAGGTATTTATGTACAATATGCGGTTTCCAAAATTTGAAATAATTACATATCTCAATTTCTATTTATTTAATTCGCTCTAAAAAATCGTTGAAAATGGAATATGAGGGAATAAAGGGTAGAAGGTTCAAATAAGGGCAACTGAAACCGGATCATTTTGAAAATGTGGTGTTTAATTTTTCCGGCTTGTAAAATTTTCAAAACTGGCTTTACCCTACAGTAAGCAAAAATTTAAATCGTACCCTTTTCTGGGATGTAATAAATTAATGGTTCTCAGCTTGATGGAAATCAATTATTACTATGCAATACATCTATTTTGTATTAAATTTAATGTAGATTCCGAATATCAAATGCATTTTTTGGTTTTCCTCACCGATAATGAACCATCAATTAAAAAGTGGAGGAAAATTAAAATTCATGCAAAAAATTAAATCGTGCCCTTACGGTTTTTTGATCATCTCATTCTTCCACGAATTCAAAAACAATAATTTTTAACTGAAATTCGATTGATATACTGTTTTTAATATTTGCATATAAAAGGTTTCAAATTTTTTGACTTTGATGCTGCTAGACATCCCGCAAAAGGAGCAGAAAATAGCTACATGCTGTGGATAGAAAGAGGGTTTATTTTTCTGCATAGGAAAGGGCTATGCTACTATAAAATTGCAGTGGGGCGAAGTTTTAGGAGCCTACTATCCAATTCATTGCCAAAATATGGAGGAAAACCGGATTCTTGTGCAATTTTCATTGAAGCGGACATAAAACAACAATCAACGAGGGCGAGCATTGGAATATAATCAGCAAGATCTTGACGAACTGAGGACTTTTGGTCCCAAAAATTGTATCTGAACTTCAAAAACAATTCAACAGAACGGTTACCACTCAAGCAATCAGAAGCCGAATCCTGGAAAGGGGCTTTAAGGGTCGAAGTGCGAGCATGAAGCCAGTCATTTATAAATCAAATATGGCGCAGCGTCATAAATGGACCCTGGTCCTCAGATAAATGATCTTGAAAGACTGAAAACATGTCAATCAGCATGACAGAAGCATGTGCAACATATTTAGGTCAAATGCAATCATGAGGATGTGGTGGAAACCTGGAGAAGTCCTTAAACCCGGATGCATGAAAATGTCTGTGTAACATAGTGAAGGAATTTTGATGGTTTGGGCCCTAAAATTTTGGAATTGTGTTGGAAATTTATCTTTACTGAGTCAATCATCAACAATGAAGTCCACCAGACAATTCTGGAGGAAAACCACGTCCGCTGAGCGAGAAAATTGAGACTCATGTTGAAAATAATTTTGCACTTCGACGCGGATCCCATAAATACGCGAAGTTTATTAATCGGTACCTCGAGTGAAAGGGAATTAATGCTCTTCCGTGGGTTGCCTGATCTACTGGCATCAACCTAAGTGAAAACTTATGGGCATACTTGGCGAGGAGGATTTCGAACCGAAAACCCAAGTCTAAACATGGCTTGCGTGTTATTTTAAGCGAAGTGTGGGTACATGTCAGACCGGAGCTGAAAAAAAATTAGTAGAATTCATGTCGCGACGTATCAAAGCTGTAATTCAAGTAAACCGAGGCCGTTCAAAGTGTTAACTAATTATTAGACACAATTTTCATTCAAAATCCGCAAGGGTACGATTTAATTTTTTGCATGAATTTTAAATCTTCCCAAACTTTTTAATTAGTGGGTCATCATCGGTAAGGAAAAGCAAAAAAATGCGTGTCATTATCGGAATCTAAGTTAAATTTCCTACAAGACTGATGCATTACATAATAATCATCAATCTCCATCAAGTAGAAAACCATGGATTTATGACGTGACAAAAAAGGGTACGATTTAAATTTTTGCTTACTATATATATTAAGCAAACATTGTAAATATGGCCTGGCTTAAAATAACAGGTTTTTAATTTGAGTAATTAAATTGGCTCAATGAATACTTAAAAAAACCTAATTTATAAAATGTAACTCGTTTATTCGATTTGTAATTTTACGAGAAATATGTGTATACCCGACTTATACGAAACTTAACACATAAATTACAGGCTCGGTCCTTGTCGGCCCAACTTGTTTATTTATTTATTTATTTATTTATTCACATCAAGCTTGATTTAAAACAAAATCTTGTTACGCTTGACGGTAACATAACTCGTAATAAAATTAGAACAATGTTTGTCATATTCGTATGTACATACTTATAAAAAATGTAGTAATTGTAATTATGCCAAAGCTAGCGAGTAAATTTTGATATCAAACGTTATACAATCTGCAATTATAATAGAGTAGAGAGGAATGCAATGTCATAATTTAGAAACGAATTCTTCAATTTTGTTTTGAATACATTAAAATTATGCGATTCTTTTAATTCGGTAGGTAATTTGTTCCATGCAATAGTTGGAGTAAAATGAAGGGTTTTTGAACTCATGCTGTTTTTTGGGCAAAAGTTGACTCTCAGTAAGTTAGATGCGCGTGTTGGATAGCTATGAAAATGGGAATTTTTTTCAGGGAAGGTTTCAAAGAAAGGTACTGGATTTTGTTGTGTCTGAAAGAAAAAACAAAAAGGTTTAAAGTAATAGTTTTCTTTAGGAAGAAGCCATCTGAGGGTTTCTTTCAGCTTTTTACTAATTGGGTCATACTTTTTAACATTTAATACAAATCTAGCTGTTCGGCGAATTGACTTATCTAATGTTTTCAGATTTGCTGAGCATGCTGACCCCCAGATGATTACCATATAGTTAAGTAGTGAAATTAGGCACGCTTGAAATATTAGTTTGAGACTGTCCCGACTCATGACCCTTTTTAGAGGGTATAAAGATGTAGCAACTACATGAAAACGTCTTGATACGTGATTTATATGTTTTATCCAAGAGAGCTTTGAATCAATGATGAGTCCAAGACTTTTCAACTCGTTTTGACTCTTAATAGTAATACTTAATAGTAATATTTACTTCAAATTCTACAACTCCAACCTTACTCAAATTTGATGTACTACCAATCAGTATTAGTTGAGTTTTCCCCAAGTTTAGCGTCATTCCGTTATTGTCCATCCAGTCAAGTATTGCAATTAAGTCTGATTTAAGCTTACTTATAAGTTGAGGAAGCGTGTGCACAGGTCCTGCGATAATCAGTTGAGTATCATCGGCGAAAATGATACACAGACTGTTTCTTACTACTTTTGGCAGGTCATTTATGTAGATTTTGAAACACCATGGACCCATAATGCTTCCTTGGGGGCATCCACGAATGGTAAAACGCACTTGTGAGAGTTTACCGTCGTCACCCTTCACTGCTTGCATTCGGTTTGTTTGACTCCACCGCCACGGAGTTATTGCGAAAAATGGAATTATTCACCGAACACACCGATCGGTGAAACGGATTCGACCCAAGAGGAAGAATATAGTCAATGTCCAAGTCAGTAAAGAAAATCAATTTAAGAATTTCATTCACAATTCTTCACTCGAAAAGGTTTCAAAAATTTATTTTAGTTGGAAGAAGTTCAAGTCAAGTCAATAATTATTCTATATAAATAAACCGTAGTAACGTTAGAAGTAGCTCACCCTGCAATAATGATTTGATATAATTTTGCACCAATGGTGTAGGATAACGCGAGAAAATAAATATTTACTTTTACAAAATTTGAACTTTTGGCACGAACCAATTAAATCGTGATGTAAAATTTTTGTGATTATTTCTTCCAGTTATTCTTCACTGTTGGTGAATTTTGCATAGATTATACCAATTATTTCGCATCATTTTCGATAACCGATTATTCGACCCCAAAGGTGCTAGTAATTCCAAAATTGTAGTCTTTTCACTATCGATGTTTTGCATTAATTCGCACCAATTGAGTCACGGATTCTTCGATACTAATGGTGCGATTAAGATGCTCAATAATGGACAAGGGGATTCTTAATTAGCATCAATTGATGCAAAAAACTCGTGAACACACGGACGGACGGGACAGACAGACGGACAAGAGGAATTCAATAGCTTTCATGCTACGCAGGGTGAGCTAATAATAATAATAGTTCTTAAATTATAATTCGATATGTAGAATCACAAATTATTCAATTATTCCACAGGAACTTATTTATTAGAAGCATTGTATTCCGTAATCATGATGGTTTGCGCAAATTTGTGTAGCTTTTATTTATAAATGGATTTCGAATATTATGCACTCATAAAATATCAGAAGTATGTATAACCTTAACGAACTTAAGAGATATGTATGTATGAATAAAAATATTTTGGAAAGCTAACAAAATATTATGAAACCACATAAGGCAATATATGTATTCACTGCTTTCAAAATTTTCGCAAAACAATTCAGCTTGACAAGGCCTCGAATTCGCATCGAGTCATGGTGATTGTTGACCTTGCAAAAAATTTTCTTGCCTGGCACCTGGTCAATGTGATCCCATCTAGTCCTTCCACAATTCGAATAGTCCCACTGCACTGTACACCGGTTAAAGCTATCTGGCTGGCCTTAATGTCAACACGGTTACAAGTAATGTCCTCCAGGAAATACTTTAATCCAGCCAGAAATATCATTAATCTTGCCGTAGAATCTTGTCGACCAAATATCTGGGTGTCACTTGGTAGAAACGCGATAATTTGGAAAGGATTTGCTGGCACATCATATCTCGCACCTCGAAGGGCAGTACTTTTCCCGGAAAAAACATTTGCACAAGTCCTCGTATGACGACTAGGTCGGAAATGTCAATATGATTTGCATCTTGCTGAACAATAATTCCAAAATATCTAGACGTTGAGTTGTTTTCAATGCGAACTTTCTCAAACACATAGGACCTTCCTCTTATGCAAACTTCCCTCCCGGTAAATGTTAACGCCATGGGGTCATTGTTATCCACGTAGAATTTGTAACGTCTATATCTTCGAGCTTGTTCCGCGATCCACTTATCGTTATCCTACTCCGGCCACTAATTCCAGCAGAACATGCGACTTTTAGCTTAGAAAGGGTGCAATTACACGCTCTTATGCTGATTAGGTTATCATGACCTAAATCAATTACAGTGTTGGATCCTTGACCCACAATCGCCACGTGGTCCACACGCATGGTAATGCCGCATGCGTATGTGTCATCTTCTAGAATGATGGTGCATCCGCTTGTAGCAAATTTGAGACAGTTCTAACTCCTCGCACGTGTTGGCAACGACTTCTTGCACAGGAATTCTTGCTCTAGGCAAATTAACGATTTGGAGGACACGGATCATGTTGTCCAATCTATTTGTGGGATTCCTTCTGGTGCAGGATATAATAATTTCCCGAGACCCTTCCCGTAGGAGTGGGTGTTCCTCGACTAATTCTTCGTTTACGTCGTTCACCAATTTATCGAATAAGCTGGTCCTCTTCTTGGATGGGAGTAAGGCTGTTATTTCCCAGAGAACTAGGCCCAAAGCGAATAGGTCGGTTTGGTAGGAGTACTTTCCATCCAGTACTTCCGGTGCCATGTACCTGTTATTGATTATTTAGGTTATTAACGTTTTTATTTGAGAACGAGTTTACGTAAAACTCTATAAAATAGAGCCGATATCCTAATTCTGCTGACCTAACAACCCATAAAATCAAAACATACCTTCTCGTCCCAACCGTGTCCATGTGTGAGTTACTATCTTCAGGGAGGACCCATGCTGCCAACCCGAAATCACCAATTTTAATTGGTAAGCTATATTCTTGTCTAGCGAACATAATATTATCGGTTTTAAGGTCGCGATGTATAACTTTGTTGTCGTGTAGAAACGCCATCAGTGGCGGAACTATAGATTGGGGGCCGGTACGTGACCAAGATTTGGGGGCCTATCTAAATTTACTTTTGCCAATGGATATGTGCCTGTAATTTTTTATGAATTTTAGCATTTGCTGTTAAAGACATTCACATCATTTTATTCAACATAAATACGTTGCGTTATTTGGTTTTAGTTAGCAAAATATGAATGAAAATAGGAAATGACTTGTTTCAAATAACAAATTACGTATTTATGTATGTATGTATGTATGTACTATATAGTTTTTGGGTTTTCCGATTTTAACAATTACTCGACAATCCGGCTTTAAATTGTTTTTAACATTCTGGTAAGATTAGTTTTGGATCAATCAGATTTTTGGAAAACTGCAATTTTCATACTCCACAAAACCGGCTGTAAACCGATTTTTAATTTTAAATCTGTGTATTGTAGTGAGACTTTAAAGAAAGGTTATAAATAAATATAGACAGCTAAATTTTAAAGCAAATTAAAATTCAATGTAAACGTGATAATAAGGTATTTCAGAACTACTATTTCTCATTTATAAGAATTATTTTATATATGCGCCATCCCAGTTTGTGGTGTTAACATGTTCAAACCAGATTTTTGAGTGTGTAAAGCCGGGTTTGGAAAGAACAGTATTTGTGACACACTTAGAACCATTTGCTTTACAAAACCGGATAACAAGAGTGTTAAACCGTTGTTAATATAAATTAGATTTTTGCTTAAACTAATTCCCAGCTCTAAACCGGTGTTCCAATTTTAACCTGTAGCCACATAACTTTTCATATTTTGTTAAAATTTCAAATAATTGACAGGATTTAAAAATGTTGGATTAAATTTGACACCTCAGGGGTGGTCCATTAATTATGCCACGTTGAGTATGGGAGGAGGGGTACCAGGTATCCGTGACAAAATGTGACACATAGGGAGGGGGGTTCAGCGGATTCGTGCCATCACGAAAAATAAATATTTCTCGGGAACTATAAGAACATTTTTTACGAAGTTTTTACCTCTGATAATTCAACCTTAAGGTTCCCATGGATGACGCGTTGGCGCGTAATCTCACTCTGCCCCTATCCAATGTATTCAAATGCAATTTCTACAATCGGATCAACTATATGAGTTTTGAGATAAATGCAACTTTTGATATTTTAATGTAAAGCTAATTTTTGGTACTACAAAACCTTGGTGTTTTGAAAAATTAGAAAATTCAGTTTTGAAAAAAATTAGTGTGCACAAATAGCAAATTGAATACAATGGAATACATTGGATATGGGCAGAGTGAGATTACGCGCCAACGCGTCATCCATGGGAACCTTAATTGAACCTTCATCTTGCTTAAATTAATCTCATTCCCACAAGTTTGTATCTTACCTTTCATCCAGAGCAACTTAACCTTTTTTTAGATTTTTCTAGATTTTTAACTACTTTTCAAATATTTCTTAAAAATTTCGAATAATTTGCACAATTTCAAATTATTGCAAATCAAATAAAAATTAGCTAATGTAAGAAATTTCATGACTCCATAATGTCAAAAAATCTTCATAATTTCACAAAAACCCCACAAATTCCGAACGTTGCAATTTTTCACAAAATTTTCACAATTTCAAAATTTTGCATAAATTTAAAGCAGATAAAGTCTATTGCATAGTTTCAGAAAGTTGAAACAAGTGCATAGTTTCAAGAAGCTGCTTAAATTTAAAAAAATTCATGTATTTGCGAAGCGTGATAAATTTTTTGGCAAATTGTTTGAAATTTTGGAAAAAGATAAAGTCCAAAGTTGAACAGAAATTAAAAACAAACATGATTTTTCTTTCATGTCAATGCAGCGTGCGATATGAGCGTGGAGAGCTTACAATGCGATGGTGTGAGGTGGTTATCGCCGATATCCACCGGACTAATTTTAAATTGTTCACGCTCAAAAATAAGTGGACCCGTATTTTTTCATTTTTCTGAATGGGCATGTTTACGCCCGTGGAGGTATTTTCAAAAAAAATTTCAGCCAAAATTCGGATTTTTAAAAACGCTGTAAATTTTCTAATTTTAGCCCGATTTCAAAAATTAAACCCAATTTGTGTTCAGAATTACATCCCTGAAAATATAAAAATTCATTTTTAAAAATTTCAAAAATTTGATATTCTCATGCTATTTCTGAATTTTTAGAAACCCAAAAAACGATAATTTTTTGAAAATTAAAAGTTTTTTAAAAATGAACTAGCTGAGCATTCCACTATTTGTGATTTCACGGCCAGCTAGTGGTTGACAGTGTCAAGTTGACACCTATTAGATAAGGCCCAAATTAGCCTTTTGTAAATAAAAAATCATAATATATAATTGTTATTCCCATGCCAAATTTCGAAAATAATTCATAATTTCTTCAAACAAATTATCAAACAAATGAATTATTTCGAAAAATTAGAGAATCTCAAAGCAATTATTGCATGGCTTAAAAAATTCTACACATTACATAGTTTTCACAATTTCTAAAATTTTATCGAATTAAAAAAATTTGCACATTTTTAAAAATGTGTACAAATTAAAGACATTTCAATAATTCCAGACATTTTTACAAACTAAAACTTGGGGGCCCAAAGTTTAACATATTTACCAGTTAAATACAGTTAGTTAAAATTATTAAACTGGTGATGACATTATTTTTTAGTTTTTAAAAATTTATTATTGAATAAGTTCGAATAATATATATATGACGAAGTAGAGGGGCCGGGGCCCCGACCCCTCGACGTAACGGCCCCCGCGGGGGCCGTTACTAAGCGTGGGCCGATACGTGGGACGTACCCTGCGTACCCCTAGTTCCGCCAGTGAACGCCATCCACCAAGTTTTTCACAATGACGGCTTGCTTCATTTGAGTCAAAATTTGAGTCCTTGAGTGGTTTGAATTCGTCCAACCAATGTTTGAAACTCCTTCCACAGAGCTCCATTTGTATACATGTCCATTTTATCGATTCTCCATGTCGCAGAGCTTCTTCCCCACTATGGTCAATAGCGGGGTGTGAAAGTTGTAGAATTTTTTCTACCTGGGAAACTGACAGGACTTTATTCTCTACGAATTGATGAATTTTTACAATAGTGTCGTGTTCGTCAAGCGCGAGAGGAATTTCAAATTCGCGACGTGCCTCGTCTTGAGTTAAGGTTTTGTTAAGAAGGATAAATTTCACGGCGTAGAAATCTGATGATATTTTTGCTTTAAGAACGATTCCGAATGCGCCATGACCCAGGAAGGATTCGAACGTTGTAATGTTGTCAATAAAGTCGTTGGAGACTTGTAAATCAGTGTTTGCCAAATCCTTTTTCGCCATGGAAAGATTTTTTCATTTTTCAAGTTTTACACAGAGGTGATGAATGTTGGGCGAGGCTGTGAGTACAGGTGACGTGTGTGATAAAGGAATTTATCGATCTTAAGCCACCCGCTTATCATCTCGAGCGAGATAAAAGCTTATCTGATGATATGCACGTACAAAATATTTAAGTGCTCGTCCTGTGTGAATTTTCGTAGGTACATATAAACCATGTTGAAAATTCAAATTTGCAAAATTTTGCTAAATTACCCAATTTATGCAAATTAGGTTTTAATTAATAGTATAGCTAGGAATTATTATTTTGAGGAATCATATCGTTATACATATTTGAACAGAATAAAATAAAATTCAAAAAATGTTTCTAGTTACAAAAGTAATAATAATTTTTTAATAGTTTGTGTCACAAGTAATTCGCCAAACCTATGTTAAATACATAGTGTAATACAAAAAAATATAGTTGGGAGGAGAGGAGATGACACGGAGAGAAGAATAAGGATTTGAAGGAGAAGAAATGTATATCGGAGGAGATGGGGTGGAGATGAGGGGGAGGAGACGAGGGGGTGGAGATGGGCGACAGCAATTATGCCATCGCCAGGTTTGTCGTCTCAAACTTTAAAGATCGAATCTTCGATCTTTGTGTCACAGATGTCGAGAGTAAAACCCACACAATTCATTTAATTTTAACCTTATGAACTGAAGTTTTACTTAGCATTGAAATAACTAGCAATGTGTTAAAGTTGTGGATGAACAGATGAAGTGAACACATTTTTGCACAGTCAAGAGCGAAATACACCTAAATAGTGAAAATACATAAACATTTACGAATATTCATTAACAAAGCTCCATAAAAATGATGATGTTTGCATTTCACGAATAAAAATCTCTTAAGCAGATTAAGGAATACAATATTTCACTCCATTTACTATCACACCTCCAACGTGTGAACTCGTCCGAGGTGGGTCACCAATGCTTTGAAGTAGGCAAACTGTCTTCCGCAGAAGTAACATTGGCGTCGATTCGCAATATTTTGACATCGTCTATTGTGCCGCCATAAATTCCAAGTCGAGTGGCTCCTGTACTCGCATTTGTCGCAGGAATGAATCTTCTCCTTGCTCGAGGGGTGTACCGCGTCCACGTGGTTTTTCATATTTCTCACCGTTGTGAATCTCTTGTGACACAAGGTGCAGGGATAATTCCTCTGATTTTCATGTCCCACCAAGATGTGATATTTGAGTGCTCTTCTACCCAAAAAAGTCCCTTGGCAGAGGTGACACGGGACAATTTTTCGGCTCGATTTGTCAACGTGGGTCTCCTGTAAAATGCAAAAATAAAAATAAGTAAAATTTGCGCAAGGTTGAGTAAGTAAAAAGGTTGATCACACAACCAAAAAGTAAAGTTTATTCGACCGCTTTGTAAAATTTGTCCAAAGTTGTTGACCGAATGGGAAAATTTGCTAATTTTTACCAATTGTTTGTATAATACGGTTTTGTACTCAACCATATGCAAATTGTGCTTATTTTTATTTAGAGTTTGCATTGGTATACTTTCAAGAACATTACGGATGAAATTACTTCAAAAATGTGTACATAAATTAGGATTGTTATTTTCCCTTGATTTCTGCATGGCAAAATATACTATTTACCTAGTGGCTTTCCAGGCTTGTTTTTTGCGTGAAACTCTTCCGACAAGTGCCGCACTTGTAGGGCTTCTCGGTCGTATGAGTCCGAATGTGAAGCTCAAGGTGTGTCGTGTACTTAAATTCTTTCCCGCAAAGTGTGCACGAAAATTGGACCGGATTTTCGGAGTGTTCAGTTTTCACATGTCGCAAAACGTGGCGCTGGTTCAGGTAGGTTTTCTCACAGCCGGGAAATGTACATGGGAAACGGGGTCGTTCTCCCGATCCGTGAATGGCGTCTATTGCCACCGTAATGTGACGGAGTTGTAAAATTCCCGCTGACACAAGCATCGCACTTGGGACGTTGTCGGTTGCTGTGCACTCTCCTCATGTGTGCTGATAGAGCGACTGAATTTTTCGCAAAGTTGCCGCAAACCTAACGGATAATTGCAAAGCTAATTTGTGTAAATGTCACTAACTTAGATA